TGTGCTTCATCAATTAACCGGTTGGGCGGGAGCTAATGTGCCGCATCATACATATTTTTGTATCAATTTCAAACTTTTCAAAATTGAAAATTAAAAACTTTTTATTTATTTATTGTAAATGACCTCTCGCGGCCCACCTGCAGTACCTTCACTTTGGGAATCGCTGCTCTAATGCATTTATTTACAAATGCCATTTTAAATTCATCTCATAGCGCTTGGTTGCTTTTTAGCTGTATACATTTACTTAACTTGCACTACAATGATGGTAGTAATTTAATGAATAAGCTTTTAAGCGTTAGCGTTAATAAGCATTTGTGAGTTTAGTTCTGAAGAAGTTCTGACATTAAAACAAATCCTGTTAAATTTTCTTATTTGTATTTTTTTTTATGTTCAAGGAGCCACCTGTACTTTCTGAAGTATTTTTGCAATGTATTTGCCGTTCTGTTTTAGAATAAAGGGCGTCGATTAATCGTCGAAAGAATCGACCGATTAATCGCTTATCAAAATAATCTTTAGTTGCAGCCCTACATCCATATCTCAGTTAATTAAGCCTGTTGTGTTTGTTACTGTACGTCTTACTATTAACACATTTTTCTCGATCATAGTATTACACCAACATCTTCAATTTTTGGCGCTTGGACTATAAACAGGAAACAATGTAGGTTTAACTATATCTAATTGTTCAATCAATCATATTGATAGATTTTTCACTGGTAAGGAGCAAATTCTCGCTAATTTTGCAAATATGATCAGAAATACAAAAGATTTTGTTGTGGGTTTATTCCACGAACAGTTATTGCGATATGCGATGTTATTGCAATTTTCAGATCATTTTATGCCACTGTTATAATGACAATATAATAGCATAGTTATAAAAGTATGTTGTTGTTATCGAGATAGTCTGACAAATGGAACTGAAATCAAATGTGTGTTCCATTTGATAAATGCAACACAACTTAAATGAATAGAAATGAATTCATCCCATTACCGGGTCAAAGACAGGCGTTGGTGGACTGAACGAATGCACCGTGGAATCTAAAAGATGATCGGAGCAGTTCAACACGCTGCAGCACTGCAGTTTCTTGATTTGATTTGACTTGATTTGTGAAGTTTTGGAAGATTATGTAGCTATCTGACATCTTTGAGCTGTATTGTTAGTTTCAGGCAACCAAAAGCATGTCCCTTAAAAAGTGTGTTGAGCTCTGAAATGTCACCATGCTGTGGCCCTTCTCAAGCTTTATTAAGCAACACCCAAACAGATATGTATTTATTTGTTTGTTTGTTTCAGGAATGCATGCATCGATACATTTGGTAAAATGGTAATATGAAGAATAACGCAAAATAAGGGTTAATGGCTCAAATGGTTAACGGGTGTTTGAAAGTAAGCTGCAGGGCGATTGGACGAGGACGAGCATCAGGAGGACGAGCGTCAGGAGGACGAGCGTCAGGAGGACGAGCATCAGGAGGACGAGCGTCAGGAGGACGAGCGTCAGGAGGACGAGCGTCAGGAGGACGAGCGTCAGGAGGACGAGCGTCAGGAGGACGAGCATCAGGAGGACGAGCACTAGCCCTCGGTGACCTTCTGCTGCTTGAAGGCTTTCTGAGCCCAGTTCACATAGTGGCCCACGCAGATCTGCCTCCCTTTGACAGTTGTGACCCTGCAAAAAAACAAAGAAATCCATGGAAACAGTCATACTCTCTTCCTTGAAATGTGATCATCATCATGAAAGGACTAACAAAAAGACTTACAAATTGTAGCCCTTGAATTGAACTTTTAACGCCACTCATCTAACAAATTGTAAATTGGCTTATTTGAGGAAATTAGACTTTTTTGTTTCTTGTTCTTCTGAGTTTGTACTCCTATGGTTGAATGCACTTAATGTAAGTCGCTTTGGATAATCATTATTCGCTGCTGTGGTGATCTCGGGTGACAGAAAACAATGTCCAACATACACAAATGCCTTTACAGGACAGCTGTGGTGGGTCTTGGTGACGGAGACGATGTTGTTTTTCGGGACCGTTACTGTAGAGAATGTAAAGCAGCACACCCCATGTGACATTTGTTCCACTGCCTGGGCTGCAAAGACAAGAGAAAACCAGGATTGGTGTCAGAACACATGGAGACACATTTAATCAGGCTGCAACTACATCCATATTTATTACTTTTAATATCACTGGGTAGATTGCGTACTTTGACACCACCTACAGTTAGAAAATTCAGTAACCCAAATGTATCTCAAAGAACTTCTTTAAGTCGTGATGTCAAAATAACTGTTTTTCTAAATAACGTTTCTCAGATTCATACAAAAACAAACACATTTCTACTAGTAAATAGATCAACATTTAAGCCATTTATCATATACACTAAATCTCGCTGTGGCGACATACCATTGGGGGTTTTACCTATTTGGGTTATTATTATTATTATTTTCCCTTATGTATATTAAATTAAAGGACGCAGCATATCTAAATATTATTTATTTAATGTAATCCAATTAAATGTGATATATCTAATATTATATTGGATACTATCAGAAAATACTGAAGGTGAATGACGGCCATCAGGTTGTGACCTCAAGCTTAAGAGCATGTGTGTTCTGCAGCAGGACATTGACCCAAAAGCTCCCAGCAGGTCCACCTCATAATGGCTCAGAAGAAGCTAGATGAAGGTTTTGGAGCCAGTCCAGACTTAAATCTGATTGAGATGCCAAGGGAGGCACAACCAGTTATAAAGGTAAGAGGGCCATTACTTTTTCAAGTAGGTTGGAATGGATTCTTTACCTTAATAAAATCATCATTTAGAAAATGCATTTTGTATTTAAGTTGTCTTTGTCTAATAATAGAAAAGGTGCATGTGACAAATATGCAAAAAATAAGATACCAGGAAATCTGCGTGGTGTCACTGATTCGATGGAAACCGCCTGATAAACTAGATCTTATCTCTTTTCTGTTTTTTTAAACTGTTTTCCGACGTGTGACCTATTTAGATTTGGACATTTTGTGCATCTGTAACCAAATCAATTTCGTTCTGATCATAATCAATAAGTGATCTTTAAATCTGTGTCAATTGACTATAAATATATTGAGATTTAATGTGAATACTTCTTTTAATGTTATGATAATGATATATTATCAATATTGGCTGCATATAAGGCAATATAAATTATCCCCACCTTAACCAGCAACATCAAAGTTATCCACATGCACGTGTGTCAATAATTATACTTCAGTAGTATGAAACGTATGAATCTGAAATAAAAAGTACTTTGTACTGTCAAGTACTGAACTCTACTGTTGTTTTGTTGTGTGATTATAAACTAACTTTACATTTAGTTGTGTTCTTCAAGTTCTCTCAGCCTGAAATATATCATGTTCCGGAGGAGAAGCTTTTCTTCCTAAATGATATGAAATGAAATAAGATAAGATACTTTTTGTTCGGCTTTTAAGTCCTTTGCTGTGCAGCAGCAGGTTGCTAAGCAACAGGAGCAGCGGATGTAAAGCTGATGACGCAGGCAGGAAGTGACCGCGGAGGCCAGACCGCTTCAGAGACCGCTCGGTTGTTGGAGGACGCAGGCAGGGGGGGGGGAACAAAAGTTAACGAATTGTTTTTTTTGTTTTGTTGTTCATCTGTTTAATGAGACGTGTATTGGGGACCTTCCTTTTTACAAATAAAAACAACTTTTTCTTTTTACCTTTTACCGTTTGTTTGTTGATGGTGCGATGGCTCTCTGCGGCCGGCAGGGGGCGCTGTGGGACACCTTCTCCCGTGTTTTGTGCCGGTAAACGAGTACTTCCGGGTTCTGGTGTTTACGTCTAGGAGCCGAGCAGCAGTCGAGAACTGCCCTCCTCATGGCAACGACGTTTTCTCTTTCAAAACGACATGTACTTGAGGTGCTAGGATCCACACCGCGCGACGGTAGGCTGCGTCGTCCATAAGCCCGCCGTGCCGTGACGTCACGGCGCGAGCTAGCAGGCGCTAGCGTGCTCGCTCAGGCTAACCGGCTAACGTTAGCCTTCAACGCCAACAACGAAACGTGTGTCAGAATGTGTCGCAACGTGAAAGTTACAATGCTCCTCTCGTGGTTTTAGATGGTGCTGGTTAAAGTAGTGACGTCAGAGTTGTGATTTAATTGTAATTCTTATGGATTACACTTAAAATATGGTGTCTGAACAATAAATAGTGGCGCAGCAGAGCGTATTGTAGCTGGAGCAAGTGGTCATATACGTATGAACAGTTCGGGTACTTAAACCGTCAACTTGGAAGCAATTTGTGAATGTTTTAAATTAGGAATAAACGTTTAAATCAGAATCACAACCATTTAATGCTGTAGTACGTTGGACACACAAGGAATTCGTCATGGCGGCTGGTGCAAACATTGGTGCTGTGCATGTTGTTGTTGCACTTTGAAGTATTAGTTTGCATTAATAAAGTGTGGACAGTAAAGTGTAACATTATGCATTGTGTACTCCTCAAATCTCCACAGCGGCCCCGGCTGCAGGGCTCCATCATCGGGACTGGCTGATGAAGAGTCCGCCATTGCAACAGCCATGAAGAAGAAAAGCAGACGCGCGAAACCGTCGGCGGCTACGGGACAGCCCGGCGGGACGCGCCCAGCGGGGGGCGTCGGCGAGGACGAGGGGGCGCCCGGACTCCGAGGGCGACCCCGGAGGAGCGTGCCGGACACCACGGACGGTTTGTACCGCGACTCCACCGCCGCGGGGGCGGACAAGAGCGACAACCCTCGGACGCCGCCGGAGAGCAAGTCCAGAGCGCCAGGTGCGTGTCGCAGGGGATCGCACTAAACCCAGGGCGGGGCGGTATGGACCAAAGGTCGTATCGCGGTATGTTTTGGTTGGATATCGATATACGGTATATATCCCGATATTTTCTCCACATTAAAAGGGAAGAAGACCTGAACGCAAATGTGAAAGCAAAGTCAAAGCCAAATATGACATGTCATTAGTCGTTTCATTGAAACCAGCAATTTCAGTTAAGGAGTTCAAATAAAATAAAATAAATAAAAATGAAGAAAATAATAAATTAAATTAAACAATAAACAACTGCTCAGCCGTTCAAATAATAATATGTAAACATAGTGTATAACAGGAGTATTCTTTTTGAAAACAAAACTCCATATGGTGCACATAAATAAAAAAAATATCAATGCAAAATGGGTCACATTAGCGAGCCGACTTCAGTATACATGTTTGGGAGTTCTTCTCTTGCAAAGTAGTTGCGACTGGGAAGCTCATACCTCGGGTCCATCGTTTTCAGGAGCATCTTGAATCCGACTAGTTCAACATTGGCAACGGGCATCATGTCTTCAGCAATGTGATAGGACACCGCTTTCGTTATAGTGCACCACGTGTCACTTTTCTTTTCGTAAGGCACACTGCGGGAAAATGAGGTTTGCAGCGAGCTTTGTTTCGGGGGGCTGGAGCTTGTTTGGGGCGGCTTCTGTGGCGCGCAGTTTCACACACTCCTCGGGTTGCAGTTTGTGCCGTTGTTATAGGTGGTGAAAAAGATTTGAAGCGCTTCCACCCCTGGCTGTAACCTGTTTATGGGACTCCCTACATATAATGTTATTTTGTTTCTCATCGGATACTTTAAATCCGAACCATTTTTTTTTTTTACGAACCAATTCCTCCTCCGCACGCTGCGCAGACGTTGTTGCTTCCTCCATGTTTGTTGACGTGTGTGTCCCTGCCCCTCCCCCCTCTGCGCGGGAAAGAGGATGGGCGGGTCGAGGGCGAGAAGCAGGGCAGAGAGCTCCGGGTCGGCAGCTTGCTTGCAGAGCGCAAATGGAAATATATCGATGTATGCGAAATTGTCTAATTCCATATCCCATTAAAAAATATATCGATATATTCGTTTATACCGATATATCGCCCAGCCCTGACTAAACCCCCCTTTAATAGCGTGGGGCCTTTTTCTTACCCATCTGTTGCGTGGTGATGCTCTGCCAACGCCACAATCATGTTAGTGCAAATAACTTTGTTTTGAGCACACGTTTGACGTAACGCAAAATTCAATTTGCAGCCATTTTTCTCTGTGAGAATCCACTGATCTGCTCAGAGACCCATCTGAGCTGAGCCGTTGTTTTCCCCCCAGCAGGCAGACTGTCGACGGCCCTCTGTCGCCTCTGCCACGGGAAGTTCTCGCCGCGCAGCCTGCGGCGCGCCTTCGACAAGTGGCCCCAGGACGCCGTCGAGTCGGACGCAGCCGCCCGGTCGCCCCTCCTGTTCCACGCAGACTTCCAGCGGCTGGTCGGCGTGCAGTTGGACCGAGATCCCCGCCTGTCAGAGTTCATCTGCAAGAAATGCCACTCCAAGTTCTACAAGTGCCACGGCATCCTGCTCAGGTTTCTGCAGAGAGTCAACCTCCCACCGGTTGGGAAAGAGAACCTGCAAAGCTGGTGAGTCCCAAGTAAGGACCAAACAAAAGAAGGATTCTGGAAGAAAAATTTACAAATGAAAAACAAGAGTTTGTTTCCATTTCAGGAAGAAGTGTCCAGAAGCCTCGATGCACCGCGCCGCAACAAGTAAACAAAAGCGTTGCCGTCTGCTTTTTGCCTCCACAAACCACAAGTTAACTGACGGCGTTACCGTTCTCCTCCCAGCGCCACAGTCCATCACCTCGGACCCCGAGTGCCTCCGCCGCCTGGTGTCCTGGGCCCACCACCACGGCGAGGCCTGCCGCTGCTGCCCCAACCTGAGGGAGGTGCTGCAGGAGCGGTGCCGGGGCTCCGTCAGGGCCGTTTGGGGCTGCGTCGACGGCCACAGCTACGCCATGGGCGCCCGGACGCTCGCCGCGGACCTGTGCGCGGGGGGGATTTCGGAGCAGGACGGTGAAGAAGCGCAACCCAGCGGGGACGGAAGTACGGGCGCTGAGGCTCGGCGCGGTCCGCCTGCACTTCCTGCACAGACGCAGAGCTCGGCGGCGGCGGCGGACTGTACCGACGACACGGAAGGTGACGTCTGATCGCTGAATTCCTTTCTGAGGATCTGTGATGGATGATTTTCTCGGGGCCGGTTCCTCCGTCGCGGTCGCCACCCAATTGTCTTGTGGTTTCCCCGTCCTTAGACGCCGGCAGCCAGCAGGGGGCGTTTCCTGTTCCGGCGCAGCTGGAGGACCCGGCCGCTGACAGCGATGCGTCAGACAGGTCAGTCACACCGTTTCTTTCCAATGTCATCAGATTAGTTAAAAGGGCCACAGGTCATCAGCGAGGACTCACTGGGCGTGCGCGCAGGTTTGACTTTGAGGGGGACTTTGAGGAGGGCCGGAGAGGAGAGTTGTCCTACGATGAAATGTTTGACCCGTACGCAGACAAGAGGTGGGTGTGGTTGTTCTAAGCGGCGGCGGCGGCGGGCGGAGGGTTGACCCGGGTTTTGCGTGTCGAGTGAACCTTTCTGTCGCCCCCCCCCCCCCAGAGCGCGCAGGGTGACGGCCCCCAGCAAGAGGAGAAGGAGCCCAAAGGCCCTGGCGGAGCCCAAAGTAAAGAAAAGGCCGGGGCCCAAACCCGGCTGGAAGAACAAGCTGAAACCTAAAGGGTACGTGACACACGGCTAAAGGCTAAAGGCTCTGACTTTGACCTCAGCTGGAAGCATCCTAAACTCTCACAAACTGCTTGTTTCCAGAGAGGAGCTGCCCAACATCTACAAGTGTCCGTATCAGGGCTGCACCGCCGTCTATCGAGCTCCCGATGGCCTGAAGGTCAGAAAGAACCAAAGCTCAGTATTCTGATTCTGATATTCGCTGCGTGTACATACCCCTGGAAGCACCACACAGTTCTAATGGGGACGGGACCTCACTGAAGATAAGAGCAACAGAATTGTTTGTCACTTTCTTCAAATCCCTAAAAAACCGTCGTGCAGTCGTAAGCTGAAGGACTTTAAACAAATCCTCGATAGTCCGCCGGCCACTTCAGCGCTCCTCAAGCAGCGCCGCGAATGACCGTGTCTTCCTGTCGGCTCCCCAGAAGCACATCAAGGAGCACCACGAGGAGGTGAAGGAGCGACCCTGCCCTCATCCCGGCTGCAACAAGGTGTTCATGATCGACCGCTACCTGCAGCGCCACGTCAAGCTCATCCACACAGGCGAGTTCCTCCATTTGGTTGAACCGCTGCTCGTCCGAGTGAGGACTTTGAGTCTGGAGTAGAATCTACAAAGAATTCATTTCAAAATCTTATGTTTTTTTTTTGTTGATTGACTCAAATTGGCAAATAGAATTTTTACAGGTAAGTTAAAACAGGCTGCACCTGTGAAATGTTGTTTTTAGTTGTATTACTTTTGCTTATTTCTGACTGAAGCATTAATCACACGTGACGCGTTTGAGGACCCTCAGAAAGATGGGAATCTGACCGTTGTGTAAAGAATTACCGTATTTTCCGCACTATACGGCGCCGCGCCTTCAACGAACGACCTATTTTACGTGTTTTATGTGTGGCGCATGAGATCCTGCAGTCAAACGCTTTGGGCGTCGGGGCGGGTGGAGACGGCGCGTTCAGGGTCCGATCGATGCCGCGAGGTGCGTCCGCTCCCCACGCCTTAAATCTTCGGCTGCTTTTAGAATGACTTATTTTCCCAGTTAAGATGGTTCAGCTACTGTAGAGAAAAGGGCGCCGTCTCTCGCTCTTTAATCTCATCAGCTTTGTTTCTCCGACGCGCCCCTGAAAGCAGCTCAGCATCTCGCCGTCGTAGACCGAGCTTTGGCATGTTTGGCAGAGCGCACAACCAGTATGGATCAACCGATTAACCAACGTTTTTTGAGAAAATTCAAGCCTTTTAAGTGCGGAAAATGCGGTACGCTCTCTTTGGGGCTCAGATTGTTGACGTGCATTTCGGCTGAAGTGTGTCTTGTGCGTGTTTGCAGAGGAGAGGAACTACATTTGCGATCAGTGTGGCCAAACCTTCAAACAGAGGAAACACCTCTCAGTCCACCAGATGAGACATTCGGGGGCCAAGCCACTCCAGTGAGTACCGATCACGTCACGTCGCCGCTTCCAATCTTCTGCAGTTGGTGTAAATAAAGCATGAGTCCTGTATTTTATTTTGGTGGGTCGTTAAGAACGAACCACGTGACATCGCGCTCCTTCCCCATCAGATGCGAGGTGTGCGGCTTCCAGTGCCGCCAGCGGGCGTCGCTCAAATACCACATGACCAAGCACAAGGCGGAGGCCGACCTGGAGTTTGCGTGCCTGATGTGCGGAAAGCGCTTCGAGAAGGCCCACAACCTGAACGTGCACATGTCCATGGTGCACCCGCTCATTCAGGCCAAGGTTCAGAGAAGCAGCCAGCAGCAGCAGCAGCAAGCCCCGCCCCCTCCTCCTCCGTCCTACTCAGACCTGCACGCCATGGCCCTGAGCGGGGAGGCGGTTCGGCAAGACCACGACAGATGACGGCGGGCGAGCCGAACACGTGTGACCGAGCTGCCGAGTCAGCGGGCGGAACGGAACCCTTTGACACGTGTCACAAAAAGATGAATGACTTTTGGACAAAACGATTCCCTGTGTTTTATTTTCTATTAAGTTATTGCGTTACATTGCTATTGGCGCTAAAAGGGCTTCTGATGTTCATGTGTCCTGTGTGCATTATGTAGAAAAATACGTATAAATAAAACGTAGGAATTCTTTTACAAAGCAGTATTTAGTTCTGTTTCTGGGAGGCGGTCGAGTCAGAACCACCAAGGTGCAGGTGAGAAGATCCGGTGTCTTGGCATCTGTTAGAGGAAGTCCATCTCTGGGCTGAGGCTCTCGGGCTGGAGGTGCATGGAGAGAGCCGCTGCCACCTCGGGGTCCAGGTCTGAGCACTGGGACTCCAGCTGGGGGGGGAAGAGACCGTGAGAGTCAGTAACACCATGTTGGGTCCACTTCGCCCAAAATACATCTAAATATATTAAAGTACCACAATCCATGGTAAATTTATTCTAGTCAGGTCTCAAGGGGAGCTCTGAAATAAGGGAAAATGGGGGGTGGGGGGGGGGCGGTTACCTCCCTGATTCCACTGGAGGACACGGCCCCCGGCGGCCTCTGCGGGATCGCTCCCAAGATAAACTGTTTGGCGCGGCTCAGAATCCCGAAAGGCTCCACCTGAGAAAACAAACTCGGCGTTTTTTTCCCCCCAACGTCGTCCCGCTCCAAAAAAATAAAAAATAAATAACCGCGGCTCGCTCACCTGAGGGGTTCGGCCACGCCTCCCTCCAGGAAGAGCCGCAGCAGGCCGGCGTAGCAGGGGACGGCGGTGCGGAGGAAGCCGGGCTGCGCGCCGCGCGGCGCCGCAGCTCGTCGCTCTGCCGCAGCAGCAGGCTGGACGCGCGCGATAAAAAAAAAAAAAAAAACAGGCGCCGTGAGGACGTCGCCTCGGCGAGCGAGAAATGTGATGGTGGAGGGGTAAAATGGAACCGACCTGTAGAAGGCCCACGGCATCAGTCGGGCGAACTGGTCCGACATCACCGCGGCGATGGGCTGGTAGACGCCTCGTTCTGGCGGTTTCGAGAGGGGAAACGTGTCACATTCCAGTGCTTCAGCGGGGGGGGGCGGGATGATGAGAGGCGTGTCACTTACCACTTGGATGGAAGAGGAGGAGCCAGTCGGCGCAGTCCACCAAGGCCAGCAGCAGGTCGCTGCACAGAGCCGCCGACGCCGCCCCGCGGGGGGTCTCCTCCTGCGGACGCAACGCGACACACTCAAGAGAGCACGGCGCCATCTAGAGGGAGACCTCATATACAACACACTCACTGACGGCAAACATGGACCAAATTCACATCACACGGTCCTTTTCATGCCTCTAGTTATTGACCTTCTGACCTTTTGGGTGACCCCTTTCCCCTCTGACTGCATATGAAGCGGAAATGCTTCACTGTAATCTGACCCTCGCTGGCGGAGGCAGCTGTTGGTAATTATGAGGTACCTGTGGATCCAGGAGGGATGACAGATGGTCCTTAACGCACAGGAAGAGCAGGAAGACCAGCACCTGAAAAAGAGATGAGACAGCAGCAGGTAAACATTTCTTTCGTGAATCTAAAACAAACTTGCTTAAATAGTTTAACTGCTACTGTGGGAATACGTCAAAAATAACCTAATTTGTAAAGTGTTTGTAAAAAATAAAAGTGCACATTAGACTACTTTTGAATTCTGCACATAACACTGCAATTAAAAATGTCAATCATTGCCCAGCGCTAATATATATATTTTTATATAAATTTATATTTATTTATTTAAATTTATTTATTTAAATATCTATTTATATTTTTTATATATATAAATATATTTATATTTAAATTTATTTATTAATATATTTTTTTATATTTATTTATAAATATATAAAATATATTATATATATATATATGTAAAATCATACATACACAGGTCAATAATAACACGGTTATTGAGAGGTGTGTTCTCACCTGTCGGTGCAGCTCGCTGAGGCCCCGCCCACCGCTCACGCTGCCTCGCCAGGCCCGGTGCAGGCTGGCAGCCAGCAGCAGAGCAGCAGCAGCCGCTGGCGCCGCCGGCAGCAGCTGCCCCTCCTCCAGCCTGGACGGCAGACCGATTAAGAATGGAATCAGATAGATGGAACCTCGACGCGAGCGCATACTGAAACCGGCGGCGCGACTTTGCGCGAGGTCACCTGCAGGCCCAGGTGCGACAGTCCTCCAGGAGCTGCAGCTGCGCCGGGAGAAGCTCTCCGTCACACAGACGCCGCCAGAGGGACGACAGCACCGGAGACAGACGCTCCCACCAGTGCTACACACACACACACACACACACACACACACACACACACACACACACAAATAAAAGATTTATAAAGTCTGCAACCTTACTGCTGTCATGGATTTCATAACCACATAATATGACCATGTGATGCAGGTTGTTCCATCGTTTTGATCACTATAAATACGTAGAGGAAATCCAGCGTTCTGATTGGTTAAGAGTGAGTCACAAGCAACGGGGTGGATTTTGCGCAAACGTTAAGTTGACATTTCAGCTTTTAGCTCGGTGGCGATCGCCAAAAAAAACCCCGGAAATCCCACAAATGATGAGTTTAGGGCGAAGCTTTCCCAACCGGACAATTAATTAATTAATTAATTAATTAATGAACACAACCAGGACCAAGAAACTGGAGCATCTTTTATCGCATCGTTCACGTTTGTGGAAGTGAATCTGTGTCGTGGGACGTGTACAAATGTCACCTGTCGGTTACTGAATCGTTCAGACACAAACCACGTTGTTAATGGGCGTGGCTGAAATCCGGTCGCCATAGTCGCTCGCTCCTTTTGTGCGACGCACGCTCCCGATCTAGAATCGATTGCTCTTCCCGGATGTTGCGGTTTTTATTATTTGCGGTTGAACGTTTTGCAGTTGAATATTTTAACATTATTACAAAGAGCGTGATTTCAATGCATAAATATTCAGTGCTACTTTTTCTTCCCAAAATCCGACGACACAGATTCACTTCCATGACGTGATGAAACGCGTCCGACGGGAACAAAAGAGCTGTGGGACGCGACCCGGCGCGAATAAAACCGACGTTACCGCGGCGGAGACCAGGAGCAGCGGACAGCAGACACTGATCTGGGACCAGGCGTTGTTGACTTCTTCCCCGGGGCGTCCGCAGCGCGCGCCGGCACACAGCAGCCCCTGGAGGACACGCAGAGAGAGAGACAGAGAGGACAAGTGGGGCAACAGCTCGCGCATCGGAGATCGCGTTCCCCCGAGTCGCCACGGACGCATCCTCACTCTCAGGAAGTGTGACGTCAGGTGGCAGGACAGCAAGCCGACCGGGGAACAGGCCCGTCTCTGCAGGGCGGACGGACAGGAGGTGAGACGGGGGGGGGGGACACAGGTGGGCTCAGGACGACCTCCGGTTGGGACTCGACGGCTCACCTGGAGCCGGTTGACGTGTTCCACCAGCGCGTCGACCTCCAGAGTCGCGCCGCCTCCGTCGGGCTTCACTTTAACCAGCAGCGCTGCAGGGAGAGCCAGCACCACCCTGGACACACACACACACACACGCACACGCTCAGCAGGCTGCACAACGAGCGGCGCGGTGAGCTACGGCGCGGCGCGGCGCCCACCTGTTCCACGCGTCCAGCGCCCGCTGCAGGCCGAGCTCCGCGCTGCCGCCCGCCGGGGCTGATGAGGCGCATCGCCGGGACGCCGATTCCAGCAGGAGGTCGCACACGCCGGGTCGGGCGGTTCCGTGGCGGAGGTCGGTCACTTGCATCTCGTAGACGAGCTCCTGCGCGCACACACAGTTTATTCTGATTAACGTGTTCAGGGCCACGACACACTTTTCACACTGGTTTACAATCCACACACACACACACACACACCCTCACACACACACACACACACACACACACACACACACACACACACACACACACACACACACACACACACACACACACACACACACACACACACACCTGTAGGCGGGACAGGATGTCCGGCAGACAGGTGCCTGTGACGGACACTCTGACATCCTGCGTCTCCACACTCCGGCTGCTGTGGACGTTGAGGATGAAGAGTCACTTTTAACCGAAGGCGTAACTCTCCATCGTCACGTGGCTCGGAAACACACACACACACACACACACACTGCATCCGCTGTGTGCGCACAACGTGTGTTGTCGTCGTGCACATCGCACACAGACCTCAGCTGCTGGTCCATGACGGCGCGGAGCAGGTGAGAGCAGAGGATCCTCGTGTCTCCTCCACAGCCGCCCTGCTCCTCCGGACGGGGCAGGTAGAGCTCCCAGCAGGCCCACTGCTGGTACTCCTGACTGCACACAAACCACAGACTAATGGCGCCTGTAGGCGTGTGCGTGTGTGTGCGTGTGCGTGTGTGTGTGCTCCCCGCCGTTACCGTTCTGGGTCCGACAGCGCGTCGTCACCTCTCTGAACGCTGAGCTCCGCGGCGAGCCATTCGGACAGCGGCAACTTGAACAAGACAACGAGGGGTCGAGGGTCACCGGGCGAAGTCATTTAAAAGGAAAAAACCCGCGACGCAGCAACGCGCCTCGCCCAACGGGTACGGCACCTGGTATTGCGGCTCGCGCTGCAGCTGACGGAACGCCGGGTGCCTCCACAGGGACCCGGCGGCCTCCCTCCAGGTGGCGCCCGCCGCGGCGCCGAGCCACTGGCCTTTGGGTTTGTCCTGCCCCCGAGAATGCGTAGGGTTTCAATGGAAACCTTCTGGCATGCTGGTGTTTCTGGTCACTCTAGAAGGTCTCAACTAAAGACGAATATGTTCATGTCCAATTCAGATATCCCAATCGATGAAAGGCATGTCGGTGGCAAAAAGGTCAGTGGGAGGATCTATTAGCTAATGCTAAGCTAATGCTAAGATAGCTTAAACAGGTGACCCATCGTGACACTCACACACCCCCACACTCCTGAAAATGATGCATCAAGATGCTTCTCCTCTCAATTAAATGGCTGCAGAGAATTTGGTTGGACACGATCCGGTTCGACCAATCAGAAGGTGGCAGCCGCCCTCCGCCAACATAAGAAGCTCCGCCTTTACGTGCTTGAAATGGGACTGAAAGTAAAAGAAGAGGGAAAAAAAAAAAAAAAAAAAAGGAGAGACACCTTCTTGTAGAAGCCGCTGAGGACGTAGTTCTGCCGCTGCTCCGGCGGCACCGCGTCCCCTCTGCAGATCCCGTAGGACAAAGCAGCCACGCACAACCTGCGCGGCAACACGGAGACGGTGAGAGGAGTTCCCGCCCGCGGGGGGGGGGGGAGTTGCGTCCGCGCAACCTCACCTGACGCAGAAGAGCATGCCGGCGCGCGTGCCGCAGACCAGGGCCGAGCTGAGGGCTTCGTCGACGCGCACCGGCCCCGGCAGCCGGACCGGAGGACCCCGGGGGGCGCCGGCGTGGAGATGCACCGCCAACGCCGCCAGGCCGAGCTGGTGGGCGGCGCCCAGCGAAGACGCCTGTGTTTGGACAACGAGGGTAGCGGGTGAGGAGGAGGAGGAGGCGTGCGGTGGGGGGGGGGCGTGGATTTTGCGTACCTGGTTGCGGAACAGGTCCCGGAGTCGGTGCACGAGGGCGGAGAGGAGCTGCGCGTTGCCGAGCAGCGTGCCGACAAACATGGAGGCCCAAGAGCTTTGCCTGAAAACACATGTATTTATTTATTATTATTATTATTTATTTCCTATTGTTTAGCAGGAATATCGTCTTTTTGGGCCGACTTGTTGGGAGGCTTCGCTCTGGAGGCGTTGATCACGCACTGGCAGAAGCTCCTCAGGATCACGTCGACCACCTGAGAGGGAGAGAGAGAGAGAGAGAGAAACAGGCTTGCACACCGACGCACGCGCTGAAGGGAGCAGGCTCGCCGGGCGGCGGCGAAGCGAGAGGAGCTTACGGTGGCGCGGCGCCCGGGGAGCTCGACGGGACCACCGGGGAAGACGGCGCTCAGAGCGTGGGCGATCCGGGACAGCCGGGCGGACAGCTCTAAAGGCAGACGGGTGAGACGTCACTTCAGTCTGTCTCTCGCCCCCCCCCGCCGTGTGTGTGTGTGAGACGTGACGGCGTCCTACCTCCCTCACTCGCCTCATCGAGCAGCTGCGTGAGCTCCTGCAGCTGGACGCTCAGAGCCTCCACGGGCTCATCGTCGGTGTCCGAACACGCGGCGCCGGCTGGAAACGCACAAAGCGCCGCACAAATAGGGATCACATGAAGAAGAATAATAATAATAAACAACACTTCATTTTACATGTGGGTTTGTTTTTAAAAGGAACTGATCAGCAGCTCTGAGCTCATAGGAACAAATAATTATTCTCATAGTTATTTTTCTTTGTCATGACTGAGAAAGAACGTCGCCACACGACAGCAATCTTCGATTATTTAAATGTTGTAAACTATGGAGCATAAACACATCAAAAACCATGAAATCAAATGTTTCTCTGCATGTGGTTGTGACTGAATCTGATTCATGCGCTTGAAATAAAATTTTAAGCAATAAAAAGGAAGCTCATGTTCGGGGGTTTGTACGACAACACACGACCCACCGTCCTCGTGCCTCCGTTTCTGGCAGGACTCCACATACTGGGAATACTGGGCAGCGGGAACCTTATCTGCCCTGAAGACACAACAGTGTCACAATACGCCGACAATCGATGCATGACGATACGACTGCGGACGCACGGGTCCTGAAAAAGTTGCCGTGTTGGCACCTCGCGAGGTCCCCGCAACAACTCACTTTCTCAGAGCCTCGATGAAGCTCGTCCGCGCGTCGGCCTGGACGGGAAGCTGGAATTCAAAAGACAGCGTCAAGACAAAAACGCGCACGCGTGGGCGGGACGGCGGGACGGCGGGCGCTCACCGTCCTCGGCCTCAGCAGAGCGGGAAGGAAGCGCGTCAGGAAGTACGGCCGCCGGAATATACTGAGAGAGAGGGGGAGGAGTCAACGAGTGCTCTCTGATGTCCGCGTGGAGCCCTGCTGTGCTGCGAGTACCTGGCCTCCATCACCGTGGCGGAGATTCTCCCTGTGCTTTCAAACAGAGACACGGCCTTCTCCACGTCCTGCACCGCCTGGCCCTGCACACGCACACGCACACGCGTCACAAACGGTTCAGATGTCCACAAAACAGCAGCTGAAATACACCATTCGATGCCAGTTTAAAAAACGCGCACGTCGTTAAAGCGACGCGGTCGCGCCGCCGCCGTTACCTGCAATGACGCCGCGCCTTCGCCAGAGACGTCCTCGTATAAACCCATGTCCTCCACTGGCTCCTGCACACACGCAGGTGTGAAAAACAACACGTGACCGGTTCAAAAGAGGACCGACGCCGTGGATTTTTACCTTGAGGTCAGCCAGCCGGGTCTTGGCCAGAGAGACGTACTCCATCAGGAGACTCCGGTGCTTCACAGGTACGTATGGAGACTGCAGGATGTGGACCTACGAGGGGGTGAAATGATATTCATAATATAATATAATATTCATGCATCCTCCGTGTGGGTTGTCCTTCATTCAGAGGATCCCCGCTGGTGTCCACTGGGTCGTCGCTTTAAGCAGACAAGCCCGGGGCGAATGTCGTGGGACGTGAGAGAGAGAGTGTTGCGACCTTGAGGTACTGCGGGGGTTCAAAGGGCACCAGGTCAGACAGGAACTTCAGCAGAAAGACCAGGGATTTCTTACTGGCCGCATGGGGGCCGCCGCCTCCCCCGAACGACATCTGGAAAAAGGGGGCAGAAAAGCACAAGTCACGATAAAGACGACGTTAATCCAAACCACGTGTGTGTTTGCGAAGCACGACGCGACACCTTGAACCAGCTGCCGTAGGACGGGAAGACGGCGGGTCCCTCCAGCGCTCCCTGGCGCGCCAAGAGGAAAGCGGTGATCATGCTCTCCAAGTCGTAGCCTTCAAACGCCGAGCTCAGCAGTCCGGACAGCAGCTCTGCTCGCAGGGGGAGAAGCGGCGAGAGTTTTACGGCGGTGATGCTTTTAAGCGTCTCATTTCCCTTCATCCACGTGCATTCTGGGTTCCTCAACCACCGTAAAAGCGGCGCTCTCACCTCTCAGGCGGAGCTGCGCGCCCGGGTTGCACACCAGCAGCGTGGACAGGAAGCACAGGACGTGCTTCCAGTTCACCTCGCGGGTCTCCAGAACCTGCCGCAGGTGTCGCAGCAGCTGCTCCACACCGAAGACCACGGCCAGCTGTAACAACAACGTTGATTCCATTTGCAAATAATTCCACCGGCCGAGCTGCTTTCCCGATGCTCTTGTGAACTCAGTCCGTTCTTGTGCAGGTTTGTCTCTGACGTCCTTGGACAACTCTTGGTGGTTGAAGGTGTGAAGTATGATCACCTATTGAGATCAGGTTACCTTGTGTGCTTCTTGCGCCCATAACTGGTCATCGGGAGCCGGAGTTCTTGCCGTTTGCTCGGAGGTTCAAATACAAAAGTGCTCCAAACATTTACCTTGCGGAACAGAGAGGTCAACAGCGCGTTGGATTTGGCGAAGGTCCACTCGTTCTGCAGGGCGACGGCATCGGACACTGCGGGTTTGAGATGAACTGGTTTTTACTCATTTCTTAAGTCTTTCCCGAAGCGGAATTTCCGAACCCCAATAGAGGGTTAACCAGGTTTTAAGTATAACGCATCATCGAGCAAAAGAAGGGCAGCGTGTATTTACCGGTTAATTGCGGCTTGTAAGTGAGAGTCTGGGTGAGCGAGTGTGTGAAGAACCGCTGAAGGGCCTCTCCCGAGGCCGAAACCCCACACAGCGAGGCGTCGAACACCTCGAGCCTGATGGGCAGAACAAACAAGAGGCAAAAAGAACAAATACATCACCCAGAACTGCCGCCTACACCTTCTGTGAGGACACAGTAACCTCTGACCCCCCCCCAGATACTTTGAATTTCCCTCCGGGCGTTACAGGAACACGCCAACGTGGGAGCGTCTTTAAACCTGCATTCTCTCTAGTGGCCAATAGAGGGCGCAAAGGTCACATGGTATAAAAGTCAGAGGAAAAACGCTCTACTTCTGACTTGATTTATTCCCTCAGTAAACCACAAATGGCTTTATGCTCTCAGTCATCATTGCATATTTAAATGAATACGGGGCTCTTGTCATTATTAGAACCTGTTTCCCGTTTCTTTAGACACAAGCTCTCGTCATGAAGCTCAATAAGACACACAAACCACAGCTCAGCTGCAGCACACCGCGGCATCGGACCCCTTTCCACAGTGTCAAGCAGCCCTGAGGAAGGCAAAAAAAAACAAAGTGTTGCAGCATGAGCGTTAGAGTACGACACTCAGACGTTAGAAAGTAGCGGTCTGAAGGCTTCCGCCGATGGCCCCGGGGACATGCGGACTCACAGAAGAGCAGGTCGTCCAGCGCCGAGCAGCAGAGCAGCTGCGCCTTCCTGTCGGCGGCCGCCGGCCTCGGGCTCAGCTCAAAGCCGCTCCCCACCAGGACGCCGACCACCGCTGAAACACAGGCGCTCCTGCCATCAGCATCGTCCACGGCGGCGCGGCGGCATTTGGGGAGAGGTTTACTGGGAGGCGACTCGAGACCACCAGCGGATTTCTTTTCGTAGCTCGGGTGGTCGCTTTTAAAAACGCCGAACCCTGGCAGGGCAGGTCTACGGCTTCGACACGGGTGTGCGGATGAAGCGGCTCCATTTTACTCCCTTAGCCGATTTCAGAACGTTAGAGGGTTGTTGGCGGAGGCGGTGTTATTCTACAGAGGAGCCATGACATCATGTTGGACACGAGGGACGTCTTAGTGCAGAGGCCTGAAAGTGGTGGTCAGAGGTGACCGGCCCGCCGTGCTACAGTGACGCTCAAAAAACCCCGCTGGCAGGTAACTCGCTGCTGGCAGGTAAGCCCCCGCTGGCAGGTAAACCCCCACTGGCAGGTAACTCGCTGCTGGCAGGTAACTCGCTGCTGGCAGGTAAACCCCCGCTGGAAGGTAACTCGCTGCTGGAAGGTAACTTGCTGCTGGCATGTAAACCCCCGCTGGCAGGTAAACCCCCCGCTGGCATGTAAACCCCCGCTGGCAGGTAACGCGCTGCTGGCAGGTAGACCCCCACTGGCAGGTAACTCGCTGCTGGCAGGTAACTTTTACATTTTTGCCCGGGAGCAATTAGGTGTCTTGCTCAGGGACACGTCGACTTGAGACATGGGGCAGCCGGGACTCGAACCACCAACCTTGCGGTTCCCAGCGCACCCACCCACCCCCAGTCATAAGTGAAACTGGTTTCCACGGTAACCATGAAGGCGTTAACTGCTGTTGCAATGTTGATGAATGAATGAGCCACTGTCCTTACTCGAGAGCATCTTCTTGGTCTCCTCGCCTCCACGCGCAGGCGTCCAGCCGCACAGAGCCTTCAGCTGAGACACCAACCACGGCCTCGCGTCTTCATCACTGCAGGGAGAAACAGAGCGACGGGGTTGGGCGGCGTCCTCTGCTGCAGCAGCAGGAAAGGCGCCGGTGCAGCTGGAGCATCGGACGTCCTGAGTGTTCAGGTAGTTTTGACGTTTGGTCCCAGAAATCAACGGAATAATCGTCACACATTCAGAGAAAAGGGATGAACTTGTTCCAACCTCCATTAGATGCAGATGGTCAAAGTAAATGATTCACTGCTGTATTTACAGCAGCAGTTTCAGATCGTTATTAACAGTCAAACCCTCTAAAGAATGTCTGCGCTTCAATAGCGGAGCACTTCTGTGACTCGTTATTACCTGACGCGACACTAAAGGCTAAACTCACCTCTCTATGATGTGCCTCAAGGTGAGGATGTTGTAAAAGTGGAGATGGCACACCACCTCCAGGTCGGGAACGCTCTGTACAAATAGCACATGATAACATTCCATTTACCAGTCTTCACAGGAAAGCCAGGCTCTGTCTGACGTTCAGCCTGACTAAAGGGATGAATCCACTGTTCAGAACAACTTACTGGAATTACAAATTGTGCAAAAGCGTCATCGGAACACACGCACCTGATCCCTCCGGTACTCCTGCCACAGCAGTTTGGGGCACAGCGCCCCTCGTGACAGCAGTTCTCTGCTGGACTCCAGCAGGCCGCACAGCTGGACCTGAGGAGGACGGGGAGGGGACACATTTTTTACATCGCGCGTCACATTTAAAAACAAGAAGTGACTCAACAGCCGTTTGCATTTTGCAAAACTGCGGTAAAAGCCGAAAGGAAGGGAAACACACACACACACACATCGCTCTGCAGACGCTCTACTGAGGCTGAGCTGTTGAGTGACCTTTCCTCCGCTTTGCTCTGTCGATGCCTTGTGGGAGAACGTCTTAAGAGCAGCCCGAGTCACCTCTTTGGATAGGATAAGACACTGCCATTGTGTGTCCGCGTAATGATGAATATTGGGTGGCTTTTTGGGGTTATTGAGGGCAACGAAAGGCGGAGACCTGCCCATCAAAAAGGTTGCCAATGGCAACCCTTTGGTGTTGAGCCTCGAGTGTCCACTCAACCTCATTCAGGATGCACTGAATGCAGGAAATAGTGATGCTTGAGGAGGCTTGTTAAAGCACGTGCACGGTGCTCACGCGGACTCGCCGCCGTTCAAAACAAATCACAAGACTCACGCGCTGGGAGGAGGTGAGGAGCCCCCTCGCCTCGTCCTCTCCCTCGCCGACGATCTCCTTCAGCCTCTCCACCACCATCGTCACCGACAGCGCCGCCGCCGGGACGCCCAGCCGGCCGGCCCGCCGCCGCAGCTCCCGCACTGCGCACAACAACGACCCGCCCCGCGGTGGCCTTTAGCGCCGCGCCACGCGTTTCTGCGGGGCTCCTTTTATGAAAGCGGACGGCCGTCCAGCAGATGAAGGCCGCGGGGGGAAAAGGTAAAAAACCTCCGGGGGGGGGGGGGGGAGAACACTCACCCAGCAGGGCGGCCGAGGCGGCGGACGGGACGCCTCCAGTCGGTTTCTGCTCGCCGTTCCGAGTGTGGAGAACGTCCCACGGATCTGTATCCTGAAGAGACGTAACGCGCGTCATCATATCACACATGTGGTAATTGACCCAGAAGAATGATCATGAATCGTGGCGTTTGTGCAGCCCGGTGGGCGCTGCTGGTGGTACCGAAGGCCTCTCGCTCACCCCGACCTCCCTGAGCAGAGCGCAGATGTTCTGCTGCTGCTCCAGCAGCTGGATCGCCGCCTGCTGCAGACCGCCAGCATCTTCCCGCTTCGGCCTCTTCGCCACGCGGCCGGCTGGGAAAAACACACAAAACGCTCCAGATGTTTTGAGTGGAAGGTTTCAGCAACGAATAACACGGACAAATAGTATGTCATTGGGTCACTTTGTTGTACTTCAATAGCAAAAACGAGGAGGCCCTTGTGAATACAGGTTCAGGTGTTTTCTACCTCATGAAAAAGCGGATCCCTCCTAATAGTTAAGGGGCAATAGAAGGTATCGACGGGGTATTCAGATATTCAGCATGACGCCGCTACTTCGAGCCAAAACTCCACCTAAGAACCCGCCAACTCTCCGCTTCCACAAAGTTGACGTAACGTCAACAGGCGCGAGACATTCTGCGTCGACGCGGAAGTGACGTGGCTGAAACAACGTCTGCGGCGCTGGTTTTGTGCGGCGGGTTCTCGTTGCTCGCGGCTAACGCGGCTAGCCGCTGTCCACTCACCGAGGAGGCTCGACAGAGTCCTCTTCTCGGGAGCCGCTTCACACGAGTCGCTCACTGACATTCTTCGGTCTTCTGCTCTGCTGTGTGTTCGGTTCTGTTGTGTGTTCGGTTCTGTTGTGTGTTCGGTTCTGCGACAGAACGCTTCGCTTTCCTGCGGCGCTGTCAGCTTCTCCCCCTCAACCGCGTTGCCCCTCGCGCTCTCCTCTCCCATTGGTCTGGGCGAGAGCCAATCAGGAAAGACTATTTCTATGTGTGGGACAAACAGAAACTATTCCAGAGTTTTAAAGGATTTATTATAGGGTGTAGAAGTTTTAAAAGATAGTCCTTTTTTTTTTATTCTAGATGACTTCATTTACAAAAAAAAACGCCTGTCTGTCTGTCTTTACCATCTCTTGAAGTCATTTTATTTTTGCGTCCCGCAGAGTCCTCTTCTGTTTGTTGCTAAGCAACGTTCTTTGTTATCAAACACAACTCCGGATAACAGAGCAACATGTTGTGAATCACATTTAACTAAACTGTTTGTCTGTTCTGGCGTTGCTGCACACGAGCACGTGTTTGTTCAGCTTATCTGCGTTCAAAACGGTTGAATAAAAGTGAAATTGGAGTTGCTATGATGTTATTTCCCCATGATTTGTTGTTACATTTGATGTCACACATCCCTCTCCTGCGACCTCTAAAGAGGGATCAACAGGCAGCCATGTGGTTTCTTTACGATCAGCATGCAGGAAGCAGGAAGCGGAACGTTCCAGTGGGGATTTCTGACAAAGTGGGTAACAACTCACCTTTGTCCCCATGTTGGTATGTGTGTTGGATGCTTGCCATGCCCGGCGGGTGTGCTGGAGGCAAGAGGGGAGGGCAGGCAGTGAGGCCTAGTGTTTGTGCAGGGGATGAAGTCAGCAGTGACATCATTGGGTTGGACCAGGTATACGGGGGGGACGTGTATCAGGGACCTGCCTTTTTACAAATAAAAAAATCCAAGTCTCGCTTGCCTGCCTCCTAATTCCAGGATTCTCTCGGCCGTGGCAGCCTCACAAGTGGTGTCACAAGTGGGATCCAGGCCAGTAGGAGACAGTGAAGAAAATGTCAACCAGACAAAAGACAAAAGCAGCTGATCCTCGACAGAAGGCGGAACAAGATGACAGAAACCAACAAAGGGACAGCAGGTGCCCAACCCCACGAGCAAGAAAGTATAACTCAGCTGTCAAGACTTATGAAATCCCTGATGTTGCATCAGCAGGCTGAGCGCGATGACAGGACAGAACATGAACATAAGCAACAGGAGGAGCGATGGAAGCGAATCCAGCACCAATTTGTACAGCTCCAACTAGAGGTAACCCAGGACCGTCAGGCTCCTCAGTACCTACAAGAAGGTGCAGCAGCCACACCTGCCCACTTAGGCCCAACCGCGGATCCAGGATAGGCCGGGGAATGAGCAGCAGTTGGCTGCCGGAGGACAGCATTCCAAGTTGGTGACAGTTCCGGCCCTACAAAGAAGGTGAGGACATAGAACATTATTTAATCACTTTGAAAGAATTGCTCATGCCTGTCAGTGGCCTCAGGATGAGTGGGCTTCACCTAGCTTCATTGCTAACCGGTAAAGCACGGTATGCACATGTAGCTATGGACATTGATGACACCGTGGACTATGCAAAAGTGAAGGGTCAGGTGTTGTGCAGAAATTTGAACTCCGCTTCGAGACCTATCATGTAAGGTTCCGTGCCACTGGGCCAGGAGAAGGGGGAACTCCTAAAGGGCTGCAGGTCCGCCTCAAGGATTTGTAGCAGTTTCTCAAAATCCTGAATCCAGACCTTTGTACCTGGATTAGAGAGCGAAACCTGAGGTCCTCCAAAGAAGCAGCAGAACTGCCAGAAGTTTTTTTAGCTGCCCGCCAACCAGTAAAAGGGCAACTTTCACCCACCCCATCGAGTAGGGAAGTTAGTAATGCGTTTAGAGCAAACACAGGACGTAGCTCCCTCCCCTCAAACCCAGCTGCACTTGAGCCAAGAAACAAAGCCCTCTTAGCTTGTCATGCTTCCGGCCAAAAGGAACATCCTAAGGCAGAATGTCTAGGGTACGAAAGGGTCATGTTTTGTAAAGAGACAGTTGATGTTTTCTGTATTCATGGTGACAGAGTACGTTACTCCATAGCTGAGGTAGCTATGAAAGTTGAAGGTCAACACTACTTGCGTTCAGTAGGGGTGTTTAATCACCTGCCCTATCAGGTTGTGTTGGGCTCTGATTTACCTATTCAGGCGGAACCGATAGCCAAGCAATCGCGTGAGGCTAAAGGAAGCTGCACCAGCGAAAACTTGCCAGCTGTTACTAGGTCAAAAAACAAGCAAGAACAAGTCAGTTAAGCAGAGGGGGAAGAGCTGCCGTTAGCAAATGAGGAAGTCCTTGGGGGTGGGGGGGGGGCAACGCCAAGCAAGAGAGAGAGAGCGAGAGGAGACAGGACAGGGTAAGACCTCTCCCTACCATCCACAAACCGATTCAACAAGACCCTCAAGTCTATGCTGAAGAAGTTTGTGGGTCAGATTGGGACCGATGGCTGCCATTCGTGCTGTTTGCATACAGACAGGTTCCACAAGCCTCCGCAGGGTTTTCACCCTTTCCAGCTGCTAAATGGGCATCCAGTGAGGGGGTCCCATGGATGTCTTGAAGGATGCCCGTGAGGGTCCAATGGCACAACAGCAGTGCAGGGAGCTGTCATATGTCATATATGGCCGATATCAGGAGCTTGCCAGTGGTCATCTGACGGACGCGCAGCAGCGCCAGAGGAGGAGTTATGATAAGGCCGGAAAGTTCTTTTATTGCTACCAACGTCAGACAGTGGTCTCCTGGCTAAGTGGCAGTGGCCTTACAAAAAAAAGCTGGCCAGACTGGTCCCAGGATCAAAGCAGGAAGTGGAGGAGATGCTGGTGTAGCCCGGTGGTTTTGGTTCCAAAGAAAGATGATCCGAAGCTGAGATTCTGCGTTAACTTCTCAAAGTTAAATGCTGTGTCTGCCTTTTGATTCCTATCCAATGCCAAGGGTTGATGAACTGATTGAGCGGTTGGAGAATGTTAACTTCCTACCCCCCCCTTGAACTGTGTAATGGCAAAAAAAAAAAATCCAGAAAAAGTCTCTCTTCACTGCCTCCTAATTCCAGGATTCTCTCGGTCGTGGCAGCCTCACAAGCTTTTTATTCTCAATAGATCATAAATTGCGTGCCATTGTCGCATTACGTACAACATTGATGGTGGAAGAAGGGTTCAGGTTCTTTCCTTGGACGGAGCTACACAGCAATGTAAATGTGCCACATTGCATTTAAAGGCGCTGCACACTAAAGGTCGCTTATAAAGACAAAGAACAGGGTTGGAAAAAAGTACATATCATCCAGACAGGATAACATGTGCTTGTATAATATGTCCTTGTCCAACCCTTACTAAGTATTACAATGGTTTATTATTAATGCAGAAGTATTTATTTATTCATACGTCGTTTAACAAGAGATCGTAACATTTGTATTTATTTACCCTAATTCGTTGCTGCATTCGGGCACAACAGCATCCATGAACACCAGAAAGTGGACCCGAGTGCATCAAGGCCTATTTTAATCGGCCAGTACTTTTTTTTAATTTAGTCATTTTTTTCTTGAACTATTATTTTCTGTTTTTTGCCGTCACAGGCGTCACAACGGCAGTCAGATGTGTTTTCCAGGTGAATATTTGCAAGAAAATGATAAATAATATTTGATAAAATTCAATTTAAAACATTAAAACCAAGCCTGAACTAAACACGTCACATTGTGTCTCTTTGAAGTTGTTTATTGTCTCTTTGCCTTTTGAGTCTGTGTATCTTTGTAGTGGCTTTGTGTGTCTTTTTGGTCGTTTTCGCTTCTTTTCACAGTTGGTTGGGAGTCCAAACGCCTCAGTGCGGCCTATTAGCTGTAGTCGCCTTCGCCTCCCCTCCGTCTCCCTCGTGTCCCTTTTCCCCGATGCGGACGCACAGCGACGAGGACGCGGGGTTCCATGCACGCGACGCTCGGCACCAGCGTGCATCGGCTGATTAGAGGTCCTGTGTTTACTAGTTGTCGTTTCGTCACTTTGTGGCCACTTTGTGTCTCTTTGCAGTAATTTAGTGTCATCCTAGTTGTTTATTGTCCATTCATGGTCATTTTTGTTCCGTTTTTTTACAGCGTTTAAGTGTGTCTTTGTTACCTTTGTAGTTGTTTATTGTCAATTTGTGGGGAGCCGTTGCTGACGACGACCATGTATTTAAAACCATTCGGTCCATGTGGGTCAGTGCCTCTGGTGGCAAGAAGTCAATAGTTCTGCAAACCAAAGGTTGGTGTCGTAACCCCCCACGCAGAAGCGCCAAAACGGCCCCGACTCGGGAGAGAGAGATCATGTTGCACGTCGTACAGTCACCGCGGCCCCCCCCCCGGAGACGCCGGAGCCCGAGCGCATTCCTGAGAGCTCCCGTCAGGTCTGCCGGGCCGAACGCAGGCCCCGTCTGAGCGGCCCTTTGTTTTCCCACCACAAAAAACAAATTGAAAAGAAAGCTGCCCGCTGCTCTCGACGCGTAAACAGGAAGTGCGGCCTTTACGTAATAATCCCCCCCCCCACCCGCCCTGGTTCCCGCTAAACTGGCTCTAAAGAAAGAAACAGGAAGGCTGTCGTGCGTAATGACGAGCGCGTGTTCTGGATGTTGAACCTGCGGTCGGCGGTTTTTCTTTATCAGGAGTAAACAGATGAACCGTGTTCTCCGGTACCGAAGGTCCCCTGAAGCAGACGCGTGTCATCTTTTGTCCCTCAAAATCTTTTCACCTTCGCATTTTGCCGCTCGGATTGAGGCTTTTGGCTTCACCTTCCCGTTCGGTGTCAAAAATATCCAAAAGCCGGAATCTCAAGTCCGACTGTGAAGTTACGCAAAAAGCTTTTCACCGCCGTCAGCGAAACGGAAGCGTCGCCGCTTGATGGACGGGGACGGTTTGACGCGAACACACACGCGAAGCCCGCTTCAACAACGCTTTATTTACCTTTTCTCCACCTCTCCTCGCTCATGTTCAAGTACATGGATTGGCAAATCCGGGAGACACAATCAGTGGCAAATACTTTCAGAACATCACGTCCCCGTTTGATTACATCCCAAATAATTTCACTTAACCCCTAAAACACCCCCCATTAAGACACATGGACCTCTTGTAAACATGATGCAAATCAATATTTGCGTTTTGATTACAAAAAGTAATCTGGTAGAAAAATATCTTTTCTAGGTATGTCTCATTTTGGTAGGAATATTTACACCGACTACCTCACAGTATAATCTGGGTTTAAAAAGTACACATACTGTAAAACAAACAAGGGTCTCGAGAGGGAAAAAAAGGCCTTTGGTTTTCATGAGAAATATGAAAAAAAAAAAAAGTCCAATCGCCGTCCCGGTCGAAGACGAACACCAAAATGTCCACAGGTTGGAAAGAGTTCTTCGAAGAACGACGGATACAATCAGGCGTCGCTCGGGGGGCCGCCGGACCCGCACAGCTTCCGCCGGACGTAGTAGCCCAGGACGACGAGCAGCATCTCCGACGTGCTGCTGAGCGCCACGATGAAGGGCGCCTGGGACGCAAAGTCGGCCTCGGCCCGCCGGAAGGACAGCTGCATGACGGCGAGCGCCAGCAAACTGTTCTGGACGCCCACCTCGATGCTGACCGTCTTCCTCAGCGGCGGGGCCAGGCCCGCCGCCTTGGCCAGGACGCCGCCGACCACCAGCCCCAGCAAAGGCACCGTCACCCCGGCCACCACGATCTGGGGCCGGACGTTGGCCAGGATGGACGCGCCCATCTGGTAGGCCATGAAGATGCCGCCCACGATGAGCGCGAAGCTGAAGGGCCGGATGAGGGCCAGCAGGACGCGCGTGAGGGCGGGCAGGCGCAGCTTGACCAGCATGCCCAGCGAGATGGGGATGGCGATGAACAGGAGGGTGCCGAGGATCTTCACGAAGGGCACGTGCAGGGCGGCGTGCACGCCCAGGAGCCGCCCGTACAGGGCCGACGACAGGGGCATGGCCGCCGCCGCCACCACGGTGGAGACCAGCGTCATGGAGATGGCCAGGGTGACGTCGCCGCCGAGCAGCAGGCTGTACAGGTAGCCGCCGCCGCCGCCCGGGGCCGAGCAGGCGATGACCAGCCCCAGGGAGAGCGCTTTGGGCAGCGAGGCCAGCCGGGACACGCAGTAGGCGTACAGGGGCATCACCAGGAACTGCCCCAGCACCCCCAGCAGCAGCGGCACGGGGCTCTTCAGGAGGCCGCGCAGCACCTCCACCTCCACCTTGCAGCCGAACGCACACTTGTTGACGAAGATGAGGGGCAGCAGGGCGAAGAGCACGGGGTTCTCGGAGAAGTGGGCCAGGCCTCCGGACTGGACGAGCCGGGCGGCCGGATCGTCGCCGCCGGGCGCCACCCGGATGGCGTAGTCGGTTCGCTCTTCGATCACAACCGGCGCCGAGTCCAGGTCCAGGTCCAGCAGCTGGATCCGCAGCTGGGCCCGGCCCGGGAACCCGGAGCGGATGCTGATGACGTAGCTGCCGCCGCCGCCGCCGTCCGTCACGTTGAGTACGGAGAGGACCTCCGGGTCCAGGGAGCGGACCGACACCGTCTGCTTCCGGCTCCTCTGGCGGCCCTGCCTGCTGGCCGCGGCGACCCCGTACCGGCTGGAGATCACGATCACGCCGTTGGTGTTTTCGGGGAAGTCGAACTCCCGCGACGAGCCGTCCCCGATGGAGATGTACCCGCCGGCGGCGGCCGTCAGCTCGGCGTCGACGGTGAGGTTCCCGGTGGCCCACGCCCGGTCCGCCCGGCCGGTAACGAGGAAGACGAGGCAGCAGAATGTAAATGTGGTCCTCATCTTACTGCCGGTGCGGAGGCGGAGGGGCGCCGCAGAGACGCGCTTCTTTTCCTCCCCCCCTCCTCCTTCACTTCCCTTCCCCCGGCGAGCGGCCTCCCCGGACGGTCAGACCGCCGGCGCGTAGCGGCAACACGTCAAACACGTCATCACAGTCTCCGGTACAACACGTCGGCGGCCGGCTCCGCGTCTCGTCCGCTTCCCATTTCCTCGCTGCCTTTATACCCGGAACCAAAACATCGGCCGCCCCGCCCCGCGCCGCCCCGCCCGAGCGCGACAGCTCTACGGCGGCACAAGCGCTCCCTCTCCCTCCCTCCCCCTCCCGGCGCGCACTCTGGCGGATTCCCCCTCGCCGTCTGCCCGGCGCGACGGTGGTCGTCTCGGGCGACCGAAGCCTTGCGGAGTCCTCCGGTGTTTATCGGGTCCCCCGGTTGGCGACGACGGAGCGCGGCGCTGCTCGGGTGCCGGTGGTCCGCTGCTGAGGTTTTCCTCCAAGCTGGCGCGGGTCAAAGTCTTGACTTCCGCCCGGGTGTTTCAAAATAAATGCCAATAACTAAATGAAAAAATAAATAGAATACAAGGTCGGGTTAAGCGAATAGTTTTATACAAAATGCCCCTCAAATAAATCTATTAAAAGAAAATGTTCATACACGATACATGAATTTTGTATTTCAAATATTGACTTTTGTTTTTTTTTCCAATTCGGTAGAGCAAAGTATTCAGGTTTGGGCTTCATAATGTACACAAAGCACTGGTGAGCCACTACTGCTGTAACTAAGCAAAGCTACGACAACCTGGATCCACCTGGCCAACTGTAGGAAACACTAAAACCAGGAATAACATGCCTTTAAAATAAAACAAATTGTATATATATAACTTGCGAAACTAGCACTATGCTAGAGAGCATGTTAGCATCGATCGCTATGTATCACCATGCATCTGCATTAGGCTATGTAGCCAGACCCAAACTAGTTGACATCTGCCACACAGATAAAACATTTACCTTGACGGAACATCCGTTGAACTTGAACTTCTTTTTCTATTTGTGGAGAAAGTACTTTTACCATTTTAAATAGAAAATTACTCCAAATCATCTCACATTTTATTGGCCCATATGAGAAAATACTCAAAAGTAAGAAAAATAATAATAATGGTAGTAGTAATACGTGTTTCAAATACAAGTAATAGAAATACCGCCCATCTCTGGATACAAGGCATGTAACACATGTTTGGTAGTTTCAGCCACTCAAGCTCGTGTTACTCATTCGCGTTCGTAATATTTGTTTCACTTCACATCTGGGCGTCGTAACCAACGTTTCCTTGCCTGATGTTGTTACTGCAGATTGTTTGCACGCGCGTTTTATTTGTTCAGAGGAAACCTCCTCCACTTCCGGTCTCCCGGGGTAACCCGGGCTACCTTGACGTCACAATCGCCATCATCTAAGGAGCGGTCACGTGGGAGAGGGAACACCACGGTGTGTGTGTGTGTGTGTGTGTGTGTGTGTGTGTGTGCCAGGGATTACCCATCACGCACGCACTTCATTTCCCCACCGAAATGGCGGAAAACCCTCAGAAATAAAAATAAAAAAGCGATAACGCTAAAGAGAAAGTAAAGCAGACAAGAACGCGTCATGCGCCATGAAAGGATGTCACGTGGTATCGACAATTACACTCATCGTCACACGCTGTGTACACACAACACACACGTTAGGGTGCAGTCCAGCTGCACTACGACCACATGGAACACGACGCTTTGGCCCCAAACAAACACACGAGAGAGTTAAATAACATTAGGAGCTAAAATGCTTTCTACGCCCAACGCAGCTGATTAGGTGGAGGACATGTGACGTGATGTGTTGACGTCGGGCAGACATCATGTTTATAACACCATCCTACTTTAGAGTAGTACAATGCACTAATTAGCACCGAGCACAAAGTACAGCTCGGCCCGACGGGAGTTTTGGAGCCACACAGCTGGACGCCGTTCATCGCATTAAGCGAAACACACACTGCAAAAAGGTAGAAGAATATAATTATAGAAGAAGAATATATTTACACACACACACACAGTTTGGGACGGACTCGTGGGGATGATTACTTTATTTTCAGTGTTAAAAGTGAAGTTAGCCGACACCAAAGCATCACACCAGAAGAAGCCCTCTGCTCTCTGGTCTGAGGTCCTTCAGGCACTGGCGGGACGCCTACGCGAGCACCTGCATTCGATATAAGGCGTTTAAAGCAAACAGAAAAGAGTCTGATACAGATGTGAGGGGGCGAAACCACAACCCACAGGCGTAGATCCCCGTCGGACACGAACCGAGAACTGTCCATTTAAACTGTCAAAGACCCAGAAAACACGGTGGTAGATCTTCTCCCCTGAGATCCTGAGGAGGAGGAGGAGGAGGAGGAGGAGGAGGAGGTAAAATCCAATGGGGGGATTCCAGGGGGAGAAACAGGAATAGATGCAGTTTTTAGCGTTGTGGGTGGGAGTATTTATAGAGCCGGGGGGGTCGATAGGCTCATTAAGCCCTGCAGGTAGGAACAGTTCGATAGAAGCGCACACGCACGACTCCCGCCACCGTCTTTAAACTCGCCCGCCGCCGCCGCCGCCGCCTCTTCCTGGGGGGGCGCCTTCAGTTCCTCAGGGCGGCCAACCTGCAACCGTGGGAGGGACAGACATGAGGAGGAGGGGGGGCTTTAGTGGAATGAGACACAAGCTTTAAAAACAAATAAATTACATTCCCCCAACCGTCATAGCGTCAGGAACCCCGACCCGGACACGTGGGGCACGAACGCAGCACGCCGTCCGTGTCACGTGATCTAGGTGATTTTCACATCACGCCGACTCCCTCGTGGGATTTTCTTTGTGACACGTTGCCCTAATTTACGGCTCCTGGTAATATCTCCGCGACGCGGAAAGACCTCCGGGGCAGAACGCCGTGAACGACGGCAGCAACCGTAGACGCGTTGCACGGGAAGCGGGCGGCGTCTGCTTGAAAACGTTGTTGCCCGGACTGAGGTTTCCAAACCTGGGGAGCGTCGCATTGATGCACGTTCAACACTCTGGTAGCAACCTGTCAATCACAAGGTAGCCCCGCCCCAAAGAACAGCCTGTGTTTGATTCTGAAATGGTCCATCATTTACTAAATGAACATCATGCTCATTGGAGAAGACTTGAAACTAGAGATTGAGACGATAAACTCGTGTTTACTGAGGGAATAATAACTTTTTGTAATGTTTGAACTTTTAAAAATCCCACTTGTGGAAAGGACCTAAAATGCCCTGTTTTGTCCACGACTATAAAGATCTAAAGATTTTCTTCTAAAAAAACAGTGATCAAAGGATCATCAGAATTCCTTCAATAAGCTCGACCCTGAACGCAGCACAGGATGAAGGACTCGTAGTGGGTCACCGAGAGGGTTTTTCCTTTGAGGTGATTCCTGCACTGTGGGACCTTTAAGGACCCACGAGGCGGCCGAGCAGATGCGAACCCAAACCCTCCTCGTGACCCGGGTCCTAACCCTCCTCGTGGCCCGGCTCCTAACCCGACCCTCCTCGTGGCCCGGCTCCTAACCCGACCCTCCTCGTGGCCCGGCTCCTAACCCGACCCTCCTCGTGGCCCGGCTCCTAACCTTCCCCTCCTCGTGGCCCGGCTCCCAACCCTCCTCGTGGCCCGGCTCCTAACCCTCCTCGTGGCCCGGCTCCTAACCCTCCCCTCCTCGTGGCCCGGCTCCTAACCCTCCCCTCCTCCTGGCCCGGCTCCTAACCCTCCCCTCCTCCTGGCCCGGCTCCTAACCCTCCCCTCCTCGTGGCCCGGCTCCTAACCCTCCCCTCCTCCTGGCCCGGCTCCTAACCCTCCCCTCCTCGTGGCCCGGCTCCTAACCCTCCCCTCCTCGTGGCCCGGCTCCCAACCCTCCTCGTGGCCCGGCTCCTAACCCTCCCCTCCTCCTGGCCCGGCTCCCAACCCTCCTCCTGGCCCGGCTCCCAACCCTCCTCCTGGCCCGGCTCCTAACCCTCCTCCTGGCCCGGCTCCTAACCCTCCCCTCCTCCTGGCCCGGCTCCCAACCCTCCTCCTGGCCCGGCTCCCAACCCTCCTCCTGGCCCGGCTCCCAACCCTCCTCCTGGCCCGGCTCCTAACCCTCCTCCTGGCCCGGCTCCTAACCCTCCTCCTGGCCCGGCTCCTAACCCTCCCCTCCTCCTGGCCCGGCTCCTAACCCTCCCCTCCTCCTGGCCCGGCTCCCAACCCTCCTCCTGGCCCGGCTCCCAACCCTCCTCGTGGCCCGGCTCCCAACCCTCCTCGTGGCCCGGCTCCTAACCCTCCCCTCCTCCTGGCCCGGCTCCCAACCCTGCTCCTGGCCCGGCTCCTAACCCTCCTCCTGGCCCGGCTCCTAACCCTCCTCCTGGCCCGGCTCCTAACCCTCCTCCTGGCCCGGCTCCTAACCCTCCCCTCCTCCTGGCCCGGCTCCTAACCCTCCTCGTGGCCCGGCTCCTAACCCTCCCCTCCTCGTGGCCCGGCTCCTAACCCTCCCCTCCTCGTGGCCCGGCTCCTAACCTTCGGGACAGCTGGTCCTCCCGGTCCTGGCTCTGCGAGCTCTCCGCGCCCACCGAGGTGGCTCCGGCGGGCAGGTGGCTGAGCTGGTCCATCACCTCCAGGCCGCTCTCCTCTGCTACCCGGTGGATCAGGTCGTCCACCTGCTCCTGGGGCGTGGTCAGCGTCATCGCAGAGCTCATGGAGTCATCCATCACCTGGCGTAGGGGGGAGGGGGGGGGGGAGGGAGGGAGAAAAGAAAACTCATGGAGCTGCAGGACTGGGTTTATCCAACAGCAATGAACATCGTCTGCGGACGCTCACCGAGGTGTGGACGTCGAGGTTCTGGACTTGGCTCTCGAACTTGTCCATGACCGCAGAGACCTTCTGCAGATCCATGGAGCCGAGAGCTTTGTCCAGAGATTTGGTGACCTGGCTCATGTTTTTGCTCACCTGACGGTGGGAAAAAGGAGGAGGAAAAAGCGGCTTGTGTCATTGGGGAAAAGGCGCGGCGGCTTCACCGCCGTGCATCCGCTGGGCTGAGCGCAGCAACTCACCGCCTTCATGGTGACGGCGCTCTGCACTTTGGAGGCCACCGCGTCGACCCGGGACGCCATGCGCAGCCAATTGAGGCTCTCGTTTTTCTTCCGGATGACGTTCTCCGCGTACACTCGGGCGCACTCCACGTTTTTCTGCTGCAAAGCCTGGCGGCGGCACAGCGACACGGTCAACGCAACTCCAGTTCGCCTCGGGTGAACTTCATCTTGAGAACAAACGCCGTGCGCTACAGTCGAGGTGGGGAGGGGGGGGGGCGGGGCTCTGGGGAGGGGGGAGGGGGGGGCGGGGGCTCTGCTGAGCGGAGGGGCGGCCACTCAGAGAGTCCCGGCGCCTTTCGCTCGACAAACGATTCATATAAGGAGGGAAGCAAACAACAATAACGACAACGGCGATGCATCAGACGAAGGCTCCGCCCCCTGCTGACGGATGGGCGGAACTCCCTGCTGTCGTTCGGCCGGACAAATATGCATTTTTGCGGACTCGTTAAACAATAACAACAACAAAGAGAATTCCAATCATAGAGCGGCGGGTAACAAAAGGCAAATACAACTGAATATATTAATGAATATTTCCATTAGTTTCCAAGTATTGAAAATAGAGTACAATAAAATAAAATATCTGTGTTTATTTTTACACACGGTGGATATTACATTAGTTATTTAGCTGATACACGTGATTCCCTCTATGTTGGCTTATGTGCTTTCTTTAACAGCGGCGGGACACAAGATGAACTGCATGAACAGTGACTCACAAAATGATTCCACTCAAATGCGTAAATAATCAAACAAATCCAGATAAATAAATAAAAACTGATGTCTGCTGATCATATGCGACTTGATGCTTTACATGTCATATATATATATATATATATATACACAGTATATATGTGTATCGGCTCACCTTCTTGACTTTGGCCTGCTCCTTCTCAGACTCCTTCTCGGCCTTTTTGGAAAGTCTCTCCAGCTGCTTGGAGGTGAACTGTGAACCGTGAAGGAAGACGTACAGCAAACGGGTGATTAATATGCACAAAAACGCGTTAAACCTCCTAAACGGACACTTACCTTTAGCTGGAAGAGCGTTTCTGTGGGGGACAAGGGGGGAGACAAAGTTATCGGTCTGTGACGATATACTTACGTCACTGAAACATTATCTTTTCACTCTCTGAGAAAGCTGCTCAGCGCACTTTTTCACATGTTTGAGCCTCTGATGCTCCTTGTAAAAAAATAAAAAATAAAAAGACAAATAATAAATAGGTTCAAACAAACCCGGAACTGAATTGTTGTGGAATATAATCACGGAGAGGGACGTTTTGTCAAAATAAAAACCAAAACATTGCGGGAATATAAGTGAAGAAGTGTTTGTTACGCTTCTTCATCCACTGCAAACATATGATCTTATTTTTATACGCACACAATCGAGGGGGGCGATAAATACAGCATGAAAAAAACTTCATGTAGAATAAGCTGTCACTTTCCGTTTGAGGTATTTATGACATAAAGAGTGTCTGAGGGCGTGGACCTGCTTTCGTCGAAACCACACTCACTAAATATGAATGAATGTGAATTGTTAGCAGGTATAAGATGTTAAATCAAACCAACTGACTAAATAATAGTTCGTCGGCGGATACAGTTGAATACGGGTATAAATAAACTACAAACCAGGTAAAACAGGTCTGACAGCTCAGCCACGCTAGCTAGAGCCACCGGGCTAACGAGCTAACGTTAGCCATTCCTTATTGTAGGTTGTGTAAGCTAACGTCGGCTAAAAAAAACAAAGGCGACGCCAATCAAGGTGGAGCGGTCGGGTGTTAGAATGCGACATACCGTCCATGGCGACACCAACTCCACTCCAGGGTTACAGAGAGAATGTAAGTTTCGGCTCTCAACGCTCTCGGTTTGTTTTAGTTTGTTTTGACGAGGCGCCGGATCCGACTTCCGGGTCCCACAGCGGTCACGTGGTCGGAATCTCCCGTCTTCCCCTTCGCTTCTCCTCGACGTGTGTTGACAGTAACTAAGGAGACGTCGTATAATGATGTTTAACAGGAATTAAAGATGATGATTATTTGACCCTCTTAAAACGTATTATTTATTATTTGGCAGCTCAACGTCTGTGTTTACCGCGTGTTTTGGTTACCAAACATTGTTGTATGACTCGTTCATTGTCATTTGGATTATTTTATGGGTACATATATTGTAACGTAACCACGGTAACGCTGGTTTATCAGCCTCTTAAAGTCTCAGCTAATTAAAAAATATATACCTGCAACTAGCAAAGCAGAATCCTATTTCTTGTTCTTGAAGAACAAGGCTTGCAAGTTCATGTAAGGGAACGGACGAATGAATTCACTAAGCGTGTGGATGTCTGGGAAAGATGGAGCAGAACAAAAAGTGGATGTTTTCTATCTCAGGTCAAATATAACACGCTATACATACTACATCCCCCATAGCTTATATTCCATAATGGGCGCAGGCCTTGTCTCATTGTTCTACATTAAAGCAATAAGGACACATAATAATCTCATACGGTCGTTTTCATATTCAGATCCAAAGGTAATCACGTGACAACCCACCCGTGGTATTTTCTTGTCACAATCAAAACGACCGTTGTCGTTCCCAATTTGCCCATGAACTGCAGCGTCTCCGTGTCCCATCGGGCGCAGGATTACCACCAGCGTCTCAGACTGAGCCAGTGATGGAAAACAGGCGGGGGGGGGGGGATGGAGGCTGAGGGAGCAAGGGGGCTTAGAAGTAGCACACGCCGGCTCTTAAATCGCCCACTGTGGAGCGCGTCGTCGCGTGGACCAAGCAAAAAGTGAGCGCGTCCCATGTGGACACGTGGGGGACCGTATACACAGCGGACTGGAGGCCTAATTGGGGCTGGAGCGAGCCAGAAGGAATTTACAGGTATGGGTTGAATCCATTCGGAAACCCGCGTGACCTCAGCATAGTCTGTGTTGTTGTTGTTGTTTTAGGCAAAGGTTTTTTTACCAAGATTCTTTACATTATCCTGCTTCGGTTTATCTTAAAGCGGCAGTCCGGTGGCCTAAAGTTGCCTAAAGTGTCCTCTGACATGCAGATGACCACTTGTCTTCATTACCGTAGAGTGAATGCGAACCGGTTTTAGCAACAGGCTGCGAAAATACTTCAGTCTGCCTTTCGCTCCCTCGTATACCTCCACTGTGCTACTGTGTTAAAAGATAATAAAGATAATAGAGCAGTTGAATCCATAGAAAATGCTTAATTATTGTTGTTGATCACAACAACGAGGGTGAACATGATGTAGACGCAGCAGTAACACTCTTAAGAAATTAGCACAATCCAATTTAAAAGGTGCCAATGCTCTTCATGCCAAGCGGAAACACTGAACACACATCTTAGCGCGCGCACACACACACACACACACACACACGCAATGCTGGAAATCCTCCATCGCCAGCAGGTTCACCTGACCTGACCTTCTGAATCCCCTGTAGTCTGGTCAACATATGTGAATGGAGGTCATCAGGTTTAGAGTTCATCTCGGACGAGAAGGAAATGGCGTAGTCGTGTGTGTGCGGCGCGGTCATGTCAACCCCCGCGTCTTCCCACCTCCGACCCCTCTGGGTTACAGAGAGCCCGCCCCCGCCGCCGCCGCCGCCGCCCGACGCGGAGGCCGATTCAGCGGAGCGGCCTCCGTGCCCGCCGGCCATCCTGATCACAGCTCCATCGCGAGAGGACATCCACGCCTCACCGTCCACGTTGACCTTAGCCGAGACCGCCAAGGACCGCCAGCCGACCTCCACGCCCTTTGTGGTGGGGAAGAACCAGGTGGACAGACAGTGACCGGACATGTCGCGCTGCAGAAGGTGAAAATAGTGCTTTTCCCGCTCCCTTATGAGTAAAAGCCATCAAAAGTAAAGCATAATCAGTAAATCATCATGAAACATACGCAAAACACCCCTGACTGACGTGCAGTTGTCTGTGTGTCTGTGTGTGTGGTTGCTCTTATCATCAGTGTATGAATGGCTGTAAATGGGTGAACGATAACATTTAAAGTCCATTTACAAAACACTGAGAAACAGCACTTGAACTGCTGGGCGGCGCCATATTAGTCCAACATTTAGCCAGATTTTTCAGTTTTTGAAATTAATTTTATTTTAACTCTTTTTCTTTCTTTTTACCAGTTGCTACAGCGTTAAATATGTGTTACGCAACATGTACAATCCATTCACATTTCACTGGACTCCCCAAACATCTCTCGTCGTTACGCGAAGGTTCAAACTCCGGGAAAGCTCTTGGTCGCCCATCGGCCCGCCGGCGGAGAAAGCGCGATGGCGGCGGTCCGTGTAGTCGGCGCCTCCGCGGACCCTCTCTCGTCTTCTTGGGCTTGGACGCGGTTTTGAGCGGGAAGATGGAAGCCGCAGGCGACGACGAGCCGGAGCCCATAAAGCTCAAGTCCATCAAGAACAATAAAACCTTCACGGTGCCTCAGAGTGACCGGGTAAGAGAACCCGCTCGTTCGTGGGTGCGGGGGAGGGATCGAAGCGGAACTCCGTTTAGAACTCGTGTAGTTTTAACGACGCGCTGGTGTTCTAACGCCACACGCGACACGCGGGTCACGTGTTCACGCGTATAAAAGCTTCACGTCGCCCGGTGGGACACTCGGCGTGTGTTTCACACAGGAGACATTAAGCATGGCGGAGAAATATCACCGTGAAGCTTTCCCCTCGACATTGAACGCAGCAACGCAGCAACGCTGCGTTCAATGTTTTGTTGACGCAGCGTCTGTTTTTACGACGCGCGGCGCAAATTAAATCATTCCCGCTTGATTCAACGCTACTTACGCATTTTATTTCTTTGGAAATTGTGGATTTTTAAATGGAGTTTGGCACCCGAAGGAGAACGTCCACCGGAAGGTGCTCGCGTTTAAAATAATGAATTAAACTATTTTCCCGCGCTAATAGAATACTGATTATTTAGATCCCGGACTTGTGGATGTGGAATTAAGGTCCGACTGTGCAACGGCTTCAGTCATCGTCCTAAGCAGCAGACAATCTCATTACGGGCTTCCTCCAACACACAGTACATAACACATCAAAACCCCATAACAACAACACACCCAGCCCCCGTGACCCTTCCGGTGTGACCACGTGACCCCGTGGAGCTAATCAGATGATGGACGGATGATGAAACTCGCCGTCGTGCGTTTCTTTCTAGTTCGGCAGCTGCAGGAGCGTTCGAGAGTTCGAGAAACTCAACCGCATCGGAGAGGGAACCTACGGCATCGTGTGTGAGGTCACGCAAAAAAAAAAGTGTGTTTGACTGGGAACCAAAGAAATGGAGCCGTGTGCGTAAACTGTCCCGCTGTCCTCCACGCAGACCGAGCCCGGGACACCAAGTCGGAGGAGATCGTGGCGCTGAAGAAGGTCCGGATGGACAAAGAGAAAGACGGTGAGGTTCCTCCTCGTTTTTTTTTTTTGTTTCCCGATGAGCCCACCGGTTTTATTTACGGCTTTATTTACCGAGTGCACTTCTGGTTCTGCTCCTTCTGGGTCAGGCGTCCCCATCAGCAGCCTGCGGGAGATCACGCTGCTGCTGAGGCTGAGACACCCCAACATCGTGGAGCTGAAGGAGGTGGTCGTCGGCAGTCACCTGGAGAGGTAGCGCAGCGCGGCGCGGCCCGTGGAACTATCGACACCTGCGGTGGCGTCAACGCCGTCCTTCTGTTTGTTGTTTTTCCTGTTCAGCTTGTTCCTGGTGATGAGCTACTGTGAGCAGGATCTGGCCAGTCTGCTGGAGAACATGCAGACGCCGTTCTCCGAGGCTCAGGTAGGACACGGGGCGAGACCTCCCGAACGTCTACGCGCTTCATAATTCACACCTTTTTGACGCGTCCTCTGCGTCGTCTCACCTCCGCTGTCCTCTTCCAGGTGAAGTGTATCATCCGCCAGCTGCTCCGAGGCCTGGAGTACCTCCACCACAACTTCATCATACACAGGTCGGGGACCCGCTGCGGCAGTAAAAGTTGTGACTGCCTAAATATTTTGAGGGTGTTCCTGCATGCGCCCCCCCCCCCCCCCCCGCGGAGGAGACAACTCACTCTAATCTCATTACCAGGGACCTGAAGGTGTCTAATCTGCTGATGACGGATAACGGCTGCGTTAAGATTGGTGAGTCGGCGCTTTTAACCCAAACTTCCTGCGCGGCTCTCACTGTAATCCCATTATTCCTACACTGCTGCCCCCAGGCTACGGCCAGCGGTGACCTTCGACCTCTCTGTCCCTCCTTTTTTTTCCTTTTTACAGTAACGGGTCATTTGCCGTGTTGTGTAGTCATTTCTCTCTTTACGTTTAAAGACCATCTGGGTTAAAGGGTCTCAGTTTCATGTTGTTTTTGGGGGGAAATAATCTTTAACTCAAGCTATATATATATATATATACATCTTTTCTTTTTTCAACTTTATTTCAGACACATGGGTCCATATGGAAATAAAAAACAATAAATAAATACAATATGACATGAAGTGTCACCGATAAACAAGAGGAACAATTTGTACATAAGATCGATCCTGCATGTGACTCGTCAGAAAGCGGACTGTGCTCTCTAAGGAGAACCGTCCTAACATCTGTACACATGTTTGTTTGCACACTGTTTACCACCAGCAGGGGGCTCAGGGGCTTAATGTGTAACTTTAGTTACACATTAAGCCCCTGAGGGCCATGATAAACCTCTTCAAGGGTTCGATTTCATGTCATATATTATATATATAAATAATATATATATTATTGTTTATTATTATTTATTATAAATATATATATTTATATTTTATTTATATATATATAATAAATATATATATTATAAATAATATATATAAATAAAATATCAATATATATATATTATATATATTTATTATATATAAATAAAAAATATATATAATATATATATTTATATAATATATATATTCATATTTTATTTTTATATATATAATATATATATATATTTATATTTTATTTATATATATATAAAATATATATATATATATGGATGAATGGTTATTACTCTTAGCGGTAGCATTTCATGGACCTCTTTCTGGTTTCCCTGCATGCAGCTGACTTTGGCTTGGCCCGGATGTACGGCATCCCCCAGCAGCCCATGACGCCCCGCGTGGTCACCCTGTGGTGAGTGTCTGCAGGCGGCTCCGCCCTCTTTACCGGGAAACCCCCCCCCCTCTCCCTCTATTGCATTGAAGGTAACCCCTGTGTGGCTTAAGGTGATCCTTGTGCAGCGTCAGTGGAAAATCCTCCTTAATCTCTCAGTAATCTGCCCCGTTAATACGAGCTGTCACAAAAATGTGCCCCTCCCCTCCCCCGTCGTCTGTTTGCAGGTACAGAGCTCCAGAGATTCTCCTCGGGACCAAGACCCAGACTACAGCTCTGGACATGTGGTGAGGCTCCAACCTCACACGCCGATCATATGAACGTTACAATTGGATTCACAATCATAGCTCCTCTTTTAATCAACGTCAATCCACCAGAGGGTGGTCACTATATTTCGTATTCATCGGCTACTGTGAATACAATGATATATATATTTACTCAGTGAGGTGACCCTGAATCACTTCTGTGACATGACGGGAGTATTTTCTAATGGTTTCCCTTCACAGGGCCGTCGGCTGCATCCTGGCGGAGCTGCTGGCTCACAAACCTCTGCTGCCGGGAACCTCCGAGATCCATCAGGTCGACCTGATCGTTCAGCTGCTGGGGACGCCCAACCAAAACATCTGGCCCGTGAGTAGCGCTCGTCTTCGGCGTGAAGCGAACCGCCCGGGATGTCCGGCGATAATGTAGTGTGTGTGTGTGTGCAGGGTTTCTCTCAGCTGCCCCTCATTGGTCAGTACAGCCTGAGGAAGCAGCCGTACAACAACCTGAAGAATAAATTCACGTGGCTGTCGGAGGCCGGACACCGACTGCTCAACCTGCTCTTCATGTACAACCCACAGCGCAGGTACACACACACACACACACACACACACCAACGCTCGCTGAAGAGCCTGCAAGTGGACCAGGAGGTGATTGTGGTCTGTTTCCCTGCTGCAGAGCCACCGCCAAAGACAGCTTGGAGAGCTCCTACTTCAAAGAGAAACCCCTGCGTGAGTAAAACCACCGTTTCGGGACGTGGATCCCGCCGGAGCCGGACTTGACTTGACTTGACCCGCTCTCCTCCGTGCAGCCTGTGAACCGGACCTGATGCCGACCTTCCCCCACCACCGCAACAAGCGGGCGGCTTCCTCGGCCGACAGCCACCCGAAGCGGGTCAAAGTGTGATCGACGTTTTCTGGAATGGACGAGGATTTATTCTGGAATATCCGGCTAGTTTGGACCTTTTTGATTAGCATCAAAAGGCGTCTGCAGCACCTGATGTGCACCGAACGAACCGAACGTCGCCTTGACTAATGGTCCTTTTGTGTCACATTTCAGATGTTGCATCAGAAGCTTCTATTCTGCGATCGTTTTCTCTACTTTCAAAAAGGCACGATGAGTTGAACCTGAACCTTCGGCGTTATTTCCGTTTCTTTTGAGTCGTTTTAAGATGCAGGCTTCTCTTTTTTTTTTTCTGCAGCCATGTAGCACGCGAGTCACCGCCTTTTTCCTCTTGACCACCGCAGCCCGAACGCGCCGTCGCCTCTGACAGTCTTCAGCCCGTCACTCTGCTGCCGCCGCTGTGTTTTTGGGGCCGACTCTCATTTCTTTGAACCCATCAAGTCCCGTCGTAAACCGTCAGCCTTTGTTTTTTGCACCGTGACTAAAACACTCGGGGGGGCCAGTGAACAATTCCTCTCCTCGTCCAGCTTTTCCCCTGAAGCACTGTAAATGAACGCTGGTGAAACCATCGAGACGTCCCGCAGGACGGCTTTAAAATGAACTGAAGGGCCTCGAAATATGTTGACGTGATTAACGTGTGAAACTGGTGCCTTTTTGTTCATTTTAAACGTAGTTTATTAATGCAGGTTGAATCCAGTAGTGACGGTTACACTGACCTCGCTAGGTAGCACACGTATGCTAAGCTAGCACATGAGTGACAGCCGACAGCAGATTAAAAAAGGGGACTTTGCAGTCGTCTTACTTTAGCATGTGGCGTAATGTTGCATCCCAAAAGGAAAAATACTGCAGGTGTAAACACGGTCTCTCCGTTAGAATCAGTCAAGTTGTATAAATAACGTAACACAAAATGCTCATCGAAATACATTTTAAATAAAAGCAACAAGGGCCAACGTCAGTGTGGCTCACAGTCAAGACAAGTGCATTGTGGGAAGGATGACGTCACCGGAGCTCCCGTGAGAAGATGGGAAGCCGCAAAGTGTTTCTCAACGTGCCGTTCAGCTTTCACACGATCTCACGATGCTCCACGACAGCCACCAAATGAACCTGTGACGGGGTTTTTTTTCAATAAAGTTTTGGGGAAATCAAGCGGACCTCATTGTATGAAACCTGCAGTGCTGCCTTCACAGACCTCACGAGTAATTTGTTTAAATAACACAAATAACAAAACGGCACAGCCGAATACAAAGACACACACACACACACACGCAGGAGAACCTTCTGTTGTTCCTTCATTGCGGCCAAAAGCAAAGTGCAGTAAAACGTTAAAATAAAGTCCTTCAAACTAAAAGCATCTGGATTCTGATGCAGGTCGGGTGACGCGTTTGCAACGTTGTCTGAAATCGAGGGCAAAGACTTTTACCGTCCGTCCACCAAATCACACCAAAACGTTTCCGGTCCGACCTCCTCCGGGGATTCAAGAAGTCCGGGCCGGCGCGGCTGAAGTCAAACGCGCCGGCCCTCCATTCTGAAATCCACGAGAGGCAGCGGACCAAGCGCTCCGATGAGAGACGAGAGGACTGTACAGCAGTGGGGGACGGGGGGACGGAGGGGACGGGGGACGAGGGTCCGTCGCTCAGCCTTCCATCCCAAAGTCGTCGGTGAACTTCTTGACCTTGAGCAGATCTTCGGTGTTGACGGTGGGCCGCGTGGTGGACAGAGAGCGCAGCATGTCCGACTGCAGAGAGGGAGGACACGCGTTACTGGACACGGTTTACACGCTTTCCCCCCGTTGCCGCGGGCGATGCCACGACAGAAGCATCATCAATCATTTTAAAAATCCAGTGGCTGAACTTCTTTGTCCAATAACGGTGAGTTCAAAACAAAAAAGGCCATTATTTCCTTTTTTTTTTTTACCTCGATATAAAAATAACATAAAACAGTTCCTTTGAAAAAACTGCACAAAATATTACATTTGTACCGTGACATCGTTCGAATTTACCGTCGCCTAATGCTATTTTTTATATCTCATTTATGAAACGGTACGGAAATTACACGGATGCTACAAATGATCCAGATCTATAAAAACGAGCCATTTCCTCCAATTGAAATCAAGCCGCGAGTGTGTGCAGCTGCTTCAGCCCCTTAAAGCGGTCAATGCACCTCGTGAATGATTGTTCTGCTTGGTGGGTGACGGTAACCATGGCGACCGTCTGTCCCTACGGAACAAACCGCGACCATGAGTCCATGAGGTCGTCATCACTGCAGATACTCAGAGACACGGAGGTCGTACTTGGTGATACAAAGTATTCAAAAAGAAGTTGCAGCATCGTGTGTGTGTGTGTGTGTGTGTGTGTGTGTGTGTGTGTGTGTGTGTGTGTGTGCGCGCGTGTCTCACCATGCACACTATGGGCTCTAGCAGCTTATCGCTGGGCACATCCATCCAGGTCAGCTCCATGGCGGCGGGGTCGCCGGGGGAACACGGAGTCAACAGGTCGTCCACCATCAGCTGGCTGTTGGCGCGAGAAGGACCGCGGACCTGCAGAGTGGGACCCAGGAGACGAGAGAGGGATGGATAGGGACTGGATTCTACCAACCCCCCCCCCCTTCGGCCCCAGCGAGCGCACCTTTTTGAAGTGGGTGGCAGACTGGACCTTCCTGACCGGCTGCATGAGGGCGTCCCGGACGATGATGCTGATGTCGGCGCCGGAGTAGCCGTCCGTTTTGTGGGCGAGCTGGCGCACGTCGGCCTCGCTCAGGCTGTGCGGCGTGTTGCCGAGGTGAAGGCGGAACATCTGAGAGCGAGCCGGCTCCTCCGGCAGAGGGATGTAGATGCGCTTCTCAAATCTGACGCGACACAAGAGGACGAGGTCCGAACGACCGGTTTCTCACCAGCCTCACAAAGCCTCCACCAGCACCACCTCAGTTTCAACCGTTTAAAATGTCCACCAGAGTGATGGTATGTGTAAATAAATGCGTTAACACGCCCAGCAACAGTTTAGTACGAGTGACCTCTGACCTTCTGCGGATGGCGGCGTCCAGCACCCAGGGGATGTTGGTGGCTCCCAGCACCAAGACGCCGTCGTTGTTGTTCCCCACACCTGCAACACCGGAGCGCTTTGGTCAGGCCGCGTGCGAGCGCCGCCCGCCTCCTTCGGCCTCACAGGGCGCCGCCCGCCTCCTTCGGCTGCACAGGGCGGCGCCCTGTGCGCAGCTCGTACGGGGGAGGCCTCGCACCGCGCCCCCCCTCCCCGTGGCTCACCTTGCATCTGGACCAGGAACTCCGTCTTGATGCGGCGAGCCGCCTCGCTCTCGTTCTCGTTCCTGGAGCCGCACAGCGAGTCCACCTCGTCGATGAAGATGATGGAGGGTTTGTGCGTGCGAGCCAGGTCGAACAGGTTCTTCACCAGCCTGGGAGACACCGGGACAACGAGAGGGAGGATGAGGCTCTCGAGGAGGCCCAGACGGACCCCCCTCCGTCTCATCCACGCTGAGATTTCAGCGGGTCGAAGAGAGCAGCGAGGACGTACTTCTCACTCTCTCCCAGCCACTTGGACATGAGGTCCGAGGAGGAGACGGAGAAGAAGGTGGAGTTGTTGGCCTCGGTGGCCACGGCCTTGGCCAGGTACGACTTGCCCGTCCCCGGCGGGCCGAAGAGCAGGATGCCTCTCCACGGAGTCCGCTTGCCTGGGGGCACAAGGGTGACGTTGGTTCGCGAGACGCCGATGACATTTCAAAACTTCTAAAGTGACATTTGTGGCCAATCAGGAGTGACATTAAATATAATAAATCAACGACTCGTGCTGCATTGAGTTATAAAATAAAAGATCCAGCTGACATCCTCTGATCAGATTGTATCAAAGAAAAGTAACAAATCAAGCCTCCTAATAATTGTACTGTTCTCCTCGCCGGTACGAATATGGAGGGTTGGAAGTCCGTGGGTTACGGTGCGCGAGCGCATTTTGTTTTGGGGGATTATTCAGCAATCCAATTATTCCTGGTGTTGTTGTGGGATGAACCCAGGAACCTTTGCACTGGTGGGACTGGGCGGATTGGTGGGGTTGGGGTAGTATTAATTGGTGCAGCCGGGTCGTTTGTGTCGGCACGACGTACGCCGGGTTCGTTATTTTGCCATAATACATAGTGTTTGCTGGTTAACCGTGTGGTGTCTTTAATGTGTCGGGGATTAAAGGAGCCGCTTAAAGGAGGCGGATTACAGTCGCCTGCGATGCCGATATCAAATCCACCCAGTCCCCTTTTTTTTAATAGCATATGTACTTTTTGCTTCAGGGTTTGTAGATCAGGAGAATTGTTACAATTAAGTGAAACATTTGACCTTGACATTTTGGATTATGAAAAAAATAATAAGCTTAAATGTTTACGGGTGACGCGATGGTGTCTGGTCTGGGTGACTCAGCCGTCCTGGTAAGATGCGAACAGCAGAACCAGGACGTCACGCCACAAAAACGCTTTTATTCCCACCTGCATGAAGCCCCACGACGCATACAATGTATTACGGTTACAGTCATCTCTTCTCTCCGTTAATATACACGAGGGATGCGCATCTCCATCCCTGAGGACGATGCGATACACATCTCGATGCACTGCCAACGATCCGATGCATTAAAGATACATAAAAGCTACTAATGCGATACGATGCAATTCACCCCTACTGCGATGCAGTGCGAGTCAACGAGATGCGATGCAAAGTAATATCATTCTATGCAATTTAATATGGTACAAATTAATGATTTATTTATTTGTCATACAACAAATAATAAACAAGGTCTCTGACAAAAGATGACATGTGTATGTGTGTGTGTGTGTGTGTGTGTGTGTAAGTGTTCTCTTAATGTAACTTTTTTTTTTTTTTAATCATACCTGGCAGTCACAACAGGATTTGCTTCATTCTAAACAAATGGATCAACTGCCTCACTCACTAAATTGACAAAATCACACTCATTTGTCCGATTTTGAGGTTTTTCCTACCGTGTCGCCTCTTCAGGTGCGTCCCTAAATTAGTTGTGCTGCCGGTGTACTAGTCCATATTTTACAGATGGGATGAGATTTATCGAATTTCCCGTCTTTCTTTGGAAATCCAAAGTGTTGCCAAAACCTTGGATTTATTGCGAGTGTTCGGGACGTCTAACTCTCCATCCGCCATGGTAACGCTCTCCCACGCGCTCTCCCCTCCAACTCGCGCGAGACCTCACGAGAATCGGCCACTGACGGCAGCGGAGATGAGCGCGCTTAGAAACAGTCAGCGAGAAGTGGTGTTCGCCTACACACGAATCTGTATGAATACATCGGATCGTACCGATGCAAAAATGTTGGAAACGATTCATCCCACAAGGGATCCGGTGCACACTTTTTTGATCCGGGCCATCGCAACCGTGAGCTTTTACCGATGCGAAACCGGTGAATCCTCCCATCCCTAATATACACTTGACACTTTAATAAGATAATAACTTTGTTGTTTTAGCGCTCACCCTGTTTGTTTGACTGACTTATCATGTACGGGCGAGGTAATAGGCAATAAACCACAACGTCTTCCCTAAATAACCTTTTTAGTTTTATATAGCTTCGTTCTCACTAAAGTATTCAATAAGTTTGGGCGGACTTAGGGCGTCCACACGGTACCTGTGAAGAGATGAGGGAATTTGATGGGCAGGATGACAGCTTCCTTCAGAGCTTCCTTAGCTCCTTCCAGTCCGGCCACATCGTTCCAGCTCACATTGGGCTTCTCCATCACAATGGCACCTGGACGGAGGAGGAAGGAGGAGGAGGAGGAGGCCGATGCAGACGGAAGAAACGTCTTTAAGGAGGTGATTCTACACGTGTAGCGCTGCCGCAAATACACCCTCATTACCACGCGACCCCCCTTCCCCACCCTCGGGTATTTACTCACCCATAAGTTGCTCCTGCAGCTTCTTCCTTTCTGGATTTTCACCCTCGCTGTCGCTGTCGCTCCTACACCAGGATACAAACACAGATGTTGACAGCAGTGCAGCGGAGGCCACAGACTCTGAACACGTTTCCCTGAGGAGGGCAGGAGATGGAGGGCCTACTTGTCATTGCTCTGCGCCTCCTTCACGGGCTTTTTGCCCTGTTTGTCTTTATTCTTCAGATAGTCTTTCAGCTTCTCCGCCCGGTCCAGGTACTGCATGCACTTTGTTCGTATGCTCTCCTTTGCCTTGTCGCTGTGCGCCTCATCTTAAGGGGACGGACCAAATTGCAAACCACAATGTGAATGAAGACCCAACAACGGGGAAGGTTGCTAAGAACTAATGGACCAGCCGTCGGCCTGCTGCACTCACATTTGATGGCATGAAGGAAATACTCCACAGCGTGCTGGTACAGACGCAAGGCCTCCTCATAATTCTTCGCCTTGTCTTCCTCTGTGGCTTTGGTAACAAGATCAATTGCTTTCTGCAGGCGGGGAAATACGGTCAGAGCGATGTGGGTGTGAGACGGATACAGAAAACCCAAGTTAGTCATCGTCACGTGGGTCCGCGGATGTCAACACGGGGGAGGGGGGATGGATCGAAAACTAGTCACGCGAGTAGCATTCAATGGCACCAAATAGCATGCTGCACCAAGGGATCCTAAACGTTTCACGGATTCTACGACTAAATTGGCTTGAATCGGGATAAAAATGCTCCACCACGTCACGTTAAACCGTGTGTGTGTTTTTCTCCCCATGTGCAGCGCACAGATACGACCCTCGCCGTGAGTGAGTTCATATCGTTCCGTTTATTGTTCACAGTGATCTTATAAGCTTGTGTTTATTCACCGCTGGCTCAGACATGACGGGCTCGAGCGTCAGCCGTCCGCGCTAGCGGCTGCTAGAGTCCGGGCTGCGGGGAGCTAACGGCGGCTAGCCGGCAGTAGCCTACCTGTAATGTTGACGTTGTCATTTCATCTCCCTCTTGCACCCCGCGGCTCAGATTTATATCCCCCGACTATCCAAACGCGGGCGTGTTGAATGAAGAGAACCCGTCAGTGGCCCCGAGTAGCGAGGGGACAGGTTGCTCTTGACATGACAAAACCAGTGCGTTAAGCTAACCGCTAGCTAATAAGACACCCTGCACGGACCAGACAACACCACAGCAACAAGGAGGCTCCTCCCCCTTCTTCTTCTTCTTCTCCTCCTCCCTTTCTTCTTCTTCTTCTGCTGCTGCTGTAATGGTTGGTTACATGATGATTACCGCCACCTGCAGGACACAAGTGTGTGATTTGAGTCTGAACCCTCGGGTCTGTGGCGGTCGTCAGTATCACTATCAAACTCTAAAAGGACTTTAACTAACGCTTTGCACATATCACGTGACCGTGGCAACGTCACGTAGAATCGTGGGTATTTATTTCAAAGTCGCCACTTACCAATTTGAACATCTTCCAGGCTTTGGCCTCCGGAGATGAGAGGAAATTGTCAAATAAGATATTTACACATCAAAAAAGTACTACTTCTCATCAATATGTATTACTGTACTAGGACTTTTGATGCCTTTAGTAAACATAATACAATGCCGTTCTACTCCCTTTGCTGTATTTTTATAGTATTCTAGGGCTTTTAAAAGGCCAGCATGCAGCTAAGGGTCAAAGGTCACCTTCAAACCCGGAGATGAGTAAGGCAACCGTTTTTTTTTTTACCATGCAATGATGTTTAAATCCTTATTTGATTTATCATACCTAATGAATTTAGGTCAACATACTATATAAGGGCTTTTTCGACAAACTACAATTTGACTTTTCATATGACTTTATTATGGGTTTGATGATTACTTAAAAACACTTTACAAATGCCTTTTTGATAGTCTCACTATATATCGAACTTTCATGACTTCTGACGTGAATATGCTGTCCGCCGGTAACTTACTGAACATGCTACACTATCACGTTTTATACATAAAGTAATATGGCTTCATGTGATATTTTGTTCACGTACTGGACTTTAAAAATAGGTTGCTTGACTTGTTTAATAAAATAAAATGATACAATTTTGATTTAGCATTTCCACACACTGTATAATGTCCATTACTAAGACATTTAGGGACTTTTATTTTTTACACACTATACATTTTAAATGTATAGCCAGCTATAACTCTGTACGACTCCTTTCAACCCGCAGCGTGTCATGTCTGTACTTTAAATAACACTTTGCACTGTGTCCCTGATTCATCTACATTCCGACCAACAGATGCTTTTAACGTTGAAATTGAAAAGAGAGCTCGTTGCCGTTCGCTGTGAGCAGCCGGTGGACGTCACAGCCCTCGGCTGAATAACAGACGGTCAATGGAGTTTAAAATGTGATGCACTTTGGAATAAAAAGCAGCGGAAACTTGGGATGGATCTAGTTTTTCCAATTGGAAGAGTAGAAGGTTCAACTCTTTTTAGGGCTTAAGACAGCTGATATTATGGAATTATTCCGATAAACACACTTGCCCTGTAATTCCCAGCTCAGAGTTTGTAATCATCCCACTTTCTAGCCGGATTGAGCTGCATTTCAACATACGGATTCAAACTCCATTCAAAAGTTCAAATGTTCTTTTAAAACCCATTTGGATTTCTCTCTTGATTTGAGCTGCTTTTCCATCCAAATGCCAGACGGCGACGAGCCTTTTCACGGCCCGAGAGAAAATGACATATTCTAGTTTTACTTCCGTTTTTTGGTTCCAGCGTATTGAAGAGATGCGTGAGGCTGCTGCACGTTGGAGTAGCACTCACACGATTGAAGGAAAAAACAACAACACGTGCCTCCGAGTCCGAGTCCGTTATAAATCGTCAGGCCCCTGTGATCTGATTCTGCCACAAACAAACACTCTGTGATTTGTAACAGTTTTATTGGTAGGTATTTACATTTGATTATTACATTGTATATACGGCACGCTGGAAGGAAGTCTAGAGGAGTTTGCATATGACAGGTTGCCGCTTCCTCCCGTTGTGCTCCATGATTGTGAGCGACGCGAGCTGCCACGGATATTACCTTTGGTTCAGAAACCCACTTCGTGGAAACGTTGCTTTGCATAGACGGGACGGCCTCCCCGTCGCCAGGAGGCGAACGAGGCGCCTCGAGGGGGAAGCAGAGGAGAGGTTTTACATTCACAGATTTAAAAAAAAAAAAAAAAGGGGGGGGGGCTCCGTTGGTTAGTGCGTGGAGCTGCAAGACGGTGGACCAACTTAAGACAATCAGGTCTGCGCAGCGGGGTCGGACCGACGTGGAACCAATGGGAGGAGGGCGGAGCACAAGGGCCACACGGGGACTGACGCACGCGGCGCTACATGGGTACGCGAGTCCGCTCGGTGTAAGAAAAGAGAACGAAGAAAAAGGCAAATTAAAACCCTCACGAGGACGTCCGAGTCCCAAAAAACAGAAGGAAGGTGGTCCCGTATCCGAGGACGGAGGGGGACGTCTCGCGTTCTCCCGGGCTTCACTTCTCCGTTGTGTCCAACAGAGGCCCCACCGACTGCTACGGTTCCCGTAGCAACAGAAACCGAAAGACGGTTTCCCCGGGAAAAAAACGAACGGAGCGACCGGAGGGGGCCCGCGGGGAAGACGGGCAATGAGTTCGCTCACGGCGAACTAGCGCGCCAACTAGCGAATAACACGCGGCGGTCCTGACGCGATTTCATTTTTCGTTTCAGTCACACGTGCGTCGGCGCTCCAAAGGCCTCCGTTGTCACGGAGACGGAGGGATGCGAGTAAAAGCTCAGGGAGGAAGCGAGACGGTTTGCGTGACGGTTACTCCCTCGGACTTTGGTCGGCGCCCCGAGGCTTTAACGGAAGCAGAAGCAAAACGCCGTCGTCTAACCCCAAACACAACGGGACGCGTGTTTACGGTCCGCGGCCAGGAGAAACGCTGGCGTCGGCACGGCAACGGGACACCGGCTACCTCAAGCAAACGACCGCCATCCACTACTGAGATCAGTATGAGGAGGTCATGCCATCGTCGGGTACACACACACACAAAAAACAACAACAACAACAACAACACAGTAACATGAGTTACTGTTAGCAAGTAACACTGTAAGAGTAAAACTATCGCTTGCAAAAGTTGGAAGCTTAAACTTTATCGCGGCAGCAAAAGAAGAAAAGCGATACAAAGAGTTCCTTGGATACGTTTAACGTGTGGAAAGGCACAGTTGGCGCTCCTGATTACGACAATAGTTAATGCGCTAAAAACGCACACACACACACACACACACACACACAGGAAGGCTGTCGTGGAATGATAGGCATCGTCTAAAAGTCCTTCCGGAGCTTCTTGGATAACCTCGCGTCAGATGATCAATGCATCGTTTCATGGAATGTTCGGCTATTTTTAGTACTCGATACTTTTCGTGCAACCGTCTCTGGACACTTCATGGCTTTCATGACGCCGTTCCCCTTTATCGCAATACAAATGAACGCAACAGGCTGGAGGAGAAGTAGGAAGTCTGACTCGCGGCTTCAGCTGGAGGAAAATAAAAAGAGAAAGAAATGGGAAATGAACCCTCGGGTCTCGGCGCTGCGGCGGCGGCGGCGTCGGCGTCGGGCCGGCTCTTTCACGTCAGAAGGCCCATTCGGGTGAGCTTGGCTGACAGGAAGGAGTGGAGGACGAAGACGACCGGCTTGGGACCCGAGTGGAGGTCGAACACCTGGGAGGACGGAGAGACACGCCCCCCCTTTTACCAGCCGCTGGTCACGTGATCCCAACGTCAAACACCACTGACATCATTACTGTGCGTTTCATCCCATTGTCTCACCATCTCTCCCTCGGGACCCCCGAAGTCCAGGTACAGGTTCCTCATCCCGTCGTCGGCGGACATCTTGAGCTTCTCGTAGGGGTACCTGAACAGCACGGCGCCCCCGGGGGGGTCCGCCGGCTCCCTGGTCACCGTGAAGCCCTTCTCGTAGTGCAGCGTGAGCCGGACGTCCTGCCGGTTCAACGTGCAACCTGGAGGGGGCGGGAGGGAGGGAGGGAGGGGGAGGGGTTAGTGAGCTCTGGGGCGGAGCTTCGTGAAAGCACCAAGGGGGAGCCCGCCCCCTCCACACAGCGGCCATGTTGCTACGGAAGCCCAGAAGGGACCAACCGAACACTCCGGAGGCTTTTCAGCTCCAACACACACACACACACACACACACACACACACACACACCAATGGAGACTTCTTTGATGAGCTCGGCGGCGGCGTGCGCCCCCTGCACGAGGGCCCGCGTCCACGTCGACAGATCCCACTGGGTTTCCACTCGGAAAACGTGGGACTCGATGCCGCGGCCGGTGCCCGTCCGGGTGACGAACGCCGTGTCCGAGCCCTGCGGCGGCGAGCCCCGGGCCCCGCGACACTGGACCAGCCTGGGGAGGAGCGCAGAGGAACACGTGTTGGCAGCGGTCTGCTGGAGCGTGTCCACGGGGAGGCGTTTGAAGGCGAGACGCGCGTCTTGGCGTCCTCACCTGGTGGCCAGCAGCGGGTGCGTGAGCAGAGGCGCCGACCAGGACTCCCGGCTCCACGGCACCGACTCAAAGAGCAGAATGTCCTTCTCCGTCAGCGCCATGACCACCGGCTTGTGCTGCTGCCGACCGCCTTCCAGCTGCACCTGGGGGAGGGAGCGCGTCCAGACAGTCAGCGCCCGCGGGCACGGACGGCGGCGCCGCGATCCACGAAGGACGTCCGCCCCCGTTCCACTCGCGTGAAACAGTTACCGACCCCACAAAGTTAAATCTTCTTAATTACAGATACGCCTGTCGATGCCAGAAACGTGAGCAGATGCAAATTACAACAGAGGTATAAAGACGTAGTTTCACAGGCACACGTTGTACACGTTGTACACAGGTGAGGCAGTTTGACCATTATTAAAACATTTAAAAAAAAAACTTGAGACCACCTTCCCATATAAATTGAGAGAAATGACTTATTGACCATGTTAATCTCTTTCTTGGGCATTTTGGGAGGTGATGTGGTTAAATAGCTCATCCTGACAGTCAGTGGGCGCCCGAGTGTCAGGATGAGTCACGGCTGACTGAGTGTGTGTGTGTGTGTGTGTGTGTGTGTGTGTGTGTGCAGCCGCCGCCGTCAGTGGGCGGGCTCTGCAGGAAACGGTGCGACGCAACGGAAGACGCCACCAGCGCTTCCTGTTTGAACCCGGTCAAGATAAACAAAGCCAGGCGCGGGGACCCGGCCCTGAAGGGGGCCCTTCATCGCGGTGAAAAGGGTTAAACGTCCATGAAAACACGGGCTTCCTGTTCGCTGCCGCGGCGCAGAGATCTGTGCGCGGGCAGTGATTTTGGGGGAGGAAAAAAAAAACCACTTCCTTTCTCTCCTTCCTTTCAAAAGCAACCTGTGTTTCAACTTTCGTTTCTGGACGACTTGAAAAGCACCAAACGTTGACTGCGATGGGCATAAGGGACTTCCTTGATGCATGCTAAGCTAGGCTAGGCCCGTCCGTGAACTCAATGAAACCGTAGAAAAGTCTAGTTATGTAGTTATTGGCCTTCCGCCTGTGATTGGATGCTTAATAATGATTTAAAAACCATTGAAACTGCATGTTCCCATCGGCCGAGCGGGGGAGTAAACACACGAAATACCTGTTCGGCCAGCCAGCCGATGTGCTGGAGGTGGGGGTGCGCGGGGGACGAGGCCCCCAGGTAGGCGTTGACGTGGGCCAGCGTGTGCGGCAGCAGGGCGGCGACGTTGGTGTGGACGGCGGTGAACCAGGAGTTGGCGGTGGCGCCGTCCTTGCAGCGCAGCACCACCGTGTGCTGGCCGTCCGGGGAGTGCAGCTCCAGGAGCCTGAGCGGGACGCCGGCGATCGAGAGGAAAATAAATTAAAAAAAATGTCTTTCAAAAGTTACGATATTTTAGCCTTTTTGCGACCAAACGTCGTCGCCGCCTCGTCCCCGGCGTACCTGTTCTCCAGGTCGGGCATGGTGAGGTTCCTGCTGATGAAGCACATCTTCAGGCTCATGACCTTCCGGTCCCTGGGGGAGGCGCCGCAGTGTTTGGGCGACCCGGAGTCCTCGCTGCCGCTGCAGCTCGGCGACTGGGCGCGGGCGCCGTCCCACGGCAGGTCGGCCACCAGGGACGGCTTCTTGAAGAGGGGGGAGACCTCGCGGATGTACTTGACTGCGGAGGACAAAGGAGGAGGAGGAACGCGGTTTAAAAATCAACCAACGGACACCTGATACCTGATCATTTATTTTAATTTGGTACCTTGATGCCATACTCGATATCTGATTATGACACCAGGCTCTTAAACGTCCCGCTTCCCGTCTAAAAGGCTGGATCAGCTGGTCCTGCTTGGTCCAACACCATCATCAACAATGTACGCTTCTCGTGAAATATTACCGTTTGGCTTTTGAGAAAAAAAATCTCTGAACCGTCTTTAAAACCGGATCGAGCAAACGGCTGCGCTCTGCTTTCGCTTGATCCTCGTCCGCGTTGACCTGCTCTGCGCTCGTGTACGTACGTTCCATTCAGCAAAACAGTTTAGAACTAAAGTCATTTATAACTCTCGTGAGTTGTTGAAGTGTAAATCTTGCAGGTTTTGGAGAGAAACTTGAATAAACGCAGCATCAAATGCGTGAAATGAAAGTTTCCCCCACGGCGCTCGTCTGAACCGGCCTCATCGAGCAGGAACCTTTTACAAATATTTGAGATCCACAGAAACATCTCATCCTACCACAATAAACACGGAGTTTGCTCAGCTGTTAAACGTCCGTGGGATTCTGCCCAATAGCACCCAGTCGCTCCTAAATACACTTTGGGGCCCCGTTCGGGGTGAGACTTCAGAAAACAGTCGCAGGAAAAGCTTTGGCTCAATTCTGTCCATTCTGATCCGCTTGGTAAATTTGGCCCCGGGGGGGGGGGGCCCTCATTACCAGCTTTTGTCCCCCCAACGCAGGTGCACGGAGTGCGTCCGGGTAGGTGTGCGCATTGGGTCGCAAGCGTGTGCACGAGGGGCTGCAGAAAGATGAACTCCTTTGCGACGCATGAGTCCCTGCACGCTTTGTGTGTGTGTGTGTGTGTGTGTGTGTGTGTGTGTGTGCGCGTTACGCGGCGCATGACTCAAGGAGGAAGGGCCGGTAGAGACGCTGAGGCAACCAGCCAAGAAAGCAAAGGCTCATGCCGCCGCATCGCCCACAGGCTCTGCAGACATAAGTGCTTCGGGGGGGGGGGAGGAGTGTTATAGCCCTCCGGGCGCGCCAAAAGGGGGAACGGGGGGGGAAGGGGAAAGTTTTCTTTCTGCCAAAGCTCGCGCTTTCCGGCCTAATATTCGAGATTTGCCGCAAAAAAGTGCGGCCCAAAATTTTTTTTTTTTTTTTTCCCTCCCCAAAAAAACACCCCCCACGGAGAGAATGAGCCCCTCCTCGCGCACAAACTAATGTATACTTCTGAGATTTTCCCCAAAAATT